GGCAATCATAAACCACTGCCACTGGAAACACAATGCTCACCACCCTATGTGGGTACTTATCACACAATATCCTACCATGTAGACCACTGAATTCTATATCTAGTTTAAAATCAATACCGAGCACACTATACACATCCTTCACACTATACACATCCTTACTAAGCTCCGAAGCTCACAAGAAAAACGGTCACTAGACCACCAACATAACGACCATCAACTCCTTTAAAGGATACACTAAATATAAATTTACGTTTGTCTCTTCCTACTTCCCCAATCTTCTGAATCATCATCAGTATTATTATTTAAAGTGAAACACTAAATATAAATAATCATTTGACAACTATAAAACTATATGAAATCTATATAAAAATGTTAGTTTGCTATTATATAGATTTTTATAATATTATTATAAAGGGTTATTTTTGTAATTTTAAAATAATAATTATAATTTTTAATTTAAAATTAAATGGCAAGGTCAAATTTGACATAACCAGTAAGTTTAAAGTAACTTGATAAGTTTTGTTAATTCAAGAATATATATATTTTTTAAACGCTATTGGAATTTTATGCATTAGTTTGAAAGTAAAAAGGGTTTTATGATTTTAACTAAAAAATATATTACAATTTGGTCTCCCAAACAGAACTTCCTGGTCCGCCCCTGCATGCACACTACAAAATACAATTCAATCAGAAAATGGTTCCATTGATTTCTGCCAAAGAAGAGAAAAAACCCAAATAAGATTACATGTTAAATGCATCCATTTCACAGACACAGACATATGGAACACGCAAAATATAAGAGGACCTAATGAAAGATTTCAGAAATGAAGAAATAATAGAATTTAACAATGTAAATGATCTTGTTAGCATCAAAAATATTGAATAATTATTAAAATTTCATAAACTATTAAACTCCTTTGATGATGATAATAGTGATGGGAATTGTAATTTGTTTCTTTTATTATTTATTTATTTATTTATTTATTTATTTTTTTCAGGATGTGATTTTTAAGAATAAATTTGGAATTTATTTGAATATTTAAGTTTGTGTTGTACTTGTGGATAAATAAAGTCGAACAATGCTTGCCTTAGGCCGCATAAGATGGAACCTACTTCTTATGATGAGGTGGCCCAATAAAATATCAACATGTGTTTAAGTTTTAGAAGAAAAAAAAAAATGATGACTACAGGCAATAGAAACTGACCCTTCCCTCTTTCTCTCTCACGCATTGATATATATTATTTCTATATTTTGAATCTAAAATAATATATATATATATATATATATATATTAGATCGGCATCTTTCAATCATATATGAGAGTTGAGACAAATAATCATTATCAATTTATGAAAATGATATATATATCATGAATTCATTTTCATGATACGAATCATGAAAGACTGGCACTCTATTTATTAGCCATGTATTTTTTTTTTTCTAGGTTTTTTTGTTGATATAGGAATTAAAATTTTCCTTTTTATTTTTTTATTTTTATTTTTATTTTTTATTTTTTGCTTTCGCTTATATATAAATTTTAAGAATTTTCATGTTCATATTCCTTTCTTTTTCTTTTTTTTTTTCTTTTCTCATCCCAATCTCTTCTAAATTTCAAAACATTCCATGTTCATCTTCTTTTCTTTTATATCTAATTACAAACTTCTCATCCAAATTTAATTGTTTAAAGATGATTATCACCAAATAAAAACAATAAAAATAGATCTATTAGATTTTTCTATCGAAAAAGTTATTTAATTTGGTATTATGTGTCGTTCATACATTATATATAACAAGAGAGGGAACATCATCATTCGTGATAAAGCCAATGTAGGCCTAGGGTCATTCCCTCACCTGGCCCCACTCTTTATAATATGTGGTGTGTGTGTGTGTGTGTGTATATATTCTCCGAAACAATGTTTGATTTTAGATTCAAAATACAGAAATACTATATATCGCTGCTTGAGAGAGAAAAAGGGAAGGGTTAGTTTCTATTGCCTGTAGTCATCAATTTTTTTTTTTTTTTTCCTTTTAAAACTTAAATACCTGTTGATGTTTTATTGGGCCACCTCATCATAAGAAGGAGGTTCCTTCTTATGCGGCCTGAGGCAAACATTATTCATAAAGTCATAACCTTTTGACAATAAAATTAAAAGACTAGGGATTTTGTGTAAAAGATAAAAAATAAAAAATAAAAAAAAAAGTAGTTAAGGTAAGAAGAAAAAGTTTATAGTGAAAAGGGTAAATGTGGTATTATAAAATGAGGGAGGATTCATTAATGAGATTAAGGATCTTCTTGTCATTTCCTTTAAAGGAAAAAAAAAAATGGAGTGCAATTGTACAAAAGTGGAATACAAATATCGTCTCCCTTTATAATATTGTAATTTATAGAGGATAACACTGTAATTTAAAACTGGTATAATTTAGGATAGTATTTAATTTAAAACTTCTATAATAGTCCACGTGTCTTTTCTCATTTCTTCCGCCCATTTTTGAGTGGATGAAAATTTGTAAAAGAAAAAGATGGTCCATCCTTCCTATTCTCATTTATTTTCTTGTATTATCTCTACCGAACAAAGGAAGTTCATTTATTCTTTCATATTTTCTCTCCACACCTCTTCTTTCCTTCCTACTGAGCACAACATAAAGAATAATTACTCCTATAATAAAACAAAGGGTAAATATTTATATTTTATAGATATACTTGGGGCGGGTTTAACACAAATCCGCTTCGCTCCTAGTCGGGTTTTAAAACAAAATATCATTCCCATCCCTACCTCTAAATATGGCCTATTAAATCCGTCCCATTAGGTTGATGATTCAAGCCTCTGTGAGAGCAAAAATGGATACCAATCTGGGGTGAAAACTTGTCACCCTAAGAAAAATTCAAACCATGGGATGAAGGCAATAATGTGTGTGTTTTTTTTTTCCTGTAATTTGAGTGGGAACAATTTTAAAACTAATAGGCATATCATCCCGAAAAAAAGAAGAAAAGTATATAATACAAAATAATAATAATAATTAGTGAGAGCAATTGCCCCCATTGAATAAGACCGCGCTTCAAAGAAGTGCAAGTCGAAATTCGACCTGACCTCTGGTATTGCGTCATGTGTTAAAGATATTTTAATAAAAGTAAATAAATATATAATAAATAATATATTAAGTTATAATATATTAAATACTATTAAATTATATTTAATCTAATCATTTTATTTTCACTTAAAATCATATTAAGTGTGGATAACCGTTATAGTTATAGTTATCATTCTATATAAAGAGGAAAACTTCCCATTTTTCTATCAGTGTTTTATGTATGATTGATGATATAGGGTAAGTGGGGACTCTTCTCTCTATTCTATCATCTATCTCCACAACTCTTTCTTCTATGAGATGTTAGTGTATATTATTTCACGTATTGAGTTTGTGAGCAACAAAACAAATGCAGATTTGGACCTAGTCTTCCTATGGTCGTGCACATGGAGGAGATGTTGCTGCGAGTTGATTGAGTTGTATCTTGAAACTAACTAGTTTCGCCAATACACACACGAAGGGGACGACTATCAGGTTTATGTCAATGTGTTTACATTTGCCTCAACAACCAGGCAAGCACTTTCTTACCTATTTTAATATTGTTTTCATTTCATAATTTCTATTATTATATTAGTTTTCAATTGCAGAATTATTATGTTGTTAAATTTTTATTCATCATTTTCTTCATGTTGTTCAATTAATGTATTATAAAGTTTAATAAAAGAATTGCTACTTGACATAACATTGGTATTATTGTTTGTTCCTTTGAATCATTGTGTATGAATTGGTTGATGTATTAACTTTGTATATTTATATAAAATATGTGTAATTTCCACAACATCATGTTGACTGTATTATACTGGTAATAAAATTATTTATTCAGAAAAAGAGAGAGGTTTTTAAAATACATGTGAGGAAGAAAAAAAAAAAAAAAACACATAACTCTTCAGGTGTGATGTGGGCGAGCACTGACAAACTGCATGTGTCATGATCCCACATTGCCTAGGAAAAGTGAAGTGTTATATATGGTTCTACACCTTTCTATAACACAACGCGTTCATGATGACCATGAACCCATTAGAACTCCAAAGTCAAGCGTGCTTACTGGGGAAGCCAAAAACAGATAATATTATGTCTGGGAAGGGTGACGGTTGTTACAAATGGTATCAGTACTATCAAAGCCAGAACCCAGCCAGAAGTGTGGCCAATGAGGACGTTGGGTCCCATGGGGATGATTGTGATGACCTTTGTGGGTGGATGTGATGTGGGCGAGCACTGACAGATTACAAGGTGTCATGCTACACTCCTTAGAAGTCCGCTTAAAAATAGTACAAGGATGGGTGACCCCTGAAAAATCTCTGATATGTGAGAGTCAAAAGTGAATAATATTGTTATAGAGTGAGGGTTGTTACATAACCATTCCCACCATTCAGGTCATGTAAAAAAACAAGAGAGATTTAAAGTACATGTACAAGGAAGAGAAAAAACGAAGCATAGTTGTTCATTCACATCATATCATGCTTTACAATTCAATCATGTAATGTTAACATGTGGTCTGATGTCATGTAATGTTAAGTTGTTAACAAATGTGTGTTAAACTTAGTGTACCTAGTCATGTAAGTTGTAGTCTCACGAGACTTTACAGCAATCGGCCAAAATGTGAATGGTATCCATATTGCAAAGTCTTTTGCATGCTAGTCTTAACTTTGGCTTTAGGATCACACCAAGTTTACCACTTGAATTCAAATGAATGGCACCCTAATTCTGTTTTAATGGAAATAAATTTTTGTTATAAATATTAAAAAAAATTTGTTGCATTTATCAAATTTTGAAAATCATGTAGACGAGGAAAAGCATGAGACATAATTCAGTTCTTACCACTTATGTCATATGGGCAAGCACAATAGAGACAAAGCATCAAGCCTCAGATTTACCAATTATGAGTGCTTCAAAGAAGAGGGCAAAGAAACTACTAGTCTCGTATCATAATTCAAATCATGAGATAAATCTGCTAGATTTGGCTTTCCATGTGCCAAGACAGAATTATCAGCACAAACCTTCTTGGTAAACTTCCAGACCAGCCTTACTCGAATTAAAACACACACACACACACACACACACACACACACACAAACTAGCTTACAAGGTGGAATCCATCCCAATTTCTTGGCTAAAAATTCCAATAAAGCTAAAAATTTAATTTGTTACACGATGAGGCTTCCTCATCCCAAAGCATCAATGCCAACAGCTTGAAATTCGAACCTAACACACATTACTTAACATGACATTGACACACATTTACATAGCCTTACATACGAAGTAAGAAAAGGAATAGCTGGCTCTCTTTTACAGAACACGTCGCCATGTATCATGTGATAACTCTCGTCGGCTATTAACCACTTCCGTTAATTACCTTCAAATGGCAACATCATGTGTCTAAGCTTTTCCTCAGTTCCGCTACACTTATTTTCTCATCTGTGTGAAAAGCTCAGATGGGGGTCTTGCAGTTCCTCCCGCACCACTACCAAATGCAGTGAAACTACCACTTCCTTGTTGGTTGCTGAAAGCTCCAAATCCACCCCCTGTTCAATTTTAAAAGTAGATCTCAGCGAAAATGTAAAAGCTAATATAAGCCAAAAATGGGGGAAAATGTAAAAAATAATAGCGCTACCTGCGAATCCAGGGCCAGAAGCAGCTCCAGCAAAAGCACCAATGTTTGAGGCAGCGGCAGCAGCAAACCCTCCACCAGCAGGAGCCAGACTAGAAAACCCACCACCAGCTGTAGCCAGACTAGCAAACCCACCACTTTGTGAACCAATGCCAGCAAATCCACCTCCACTAGGAGCATTTAGAAAACCACCAGCGGAATTAACTCCAAAACCACCAGCAGATGGAGGACTGCTTCCTGGTAAACCAGGACCAAGTTGTCTAGACTGACCAAAAGCACCAAGAACTGAACCTAGAGCCTGCTGTCCTGATCCAATCTGTGATGGCTGCCCAAACCCGCTAGGGGTGGGATTTTGAGCAGTAGTTCCGGTGCCAGAGAATGCACTGAAACTTGCTAGTTGAGATGGTTGGGATGGCTGTGGAGATTGGAAGTTAAAAGATGCAGGTCGGAACAGCTCTCCAGTAGGAACTGTCATTGTAAATGGAGAGCTCATTGGAGTCGTCGCTGCATTAGGAAATGCCACAGCGAATGGACTTGGTTTGGAAGCAGTTGGATTAGTGGCTGATCCAATTCCGAAACCACCAAGACCTCCGAGAGTAAGTTCAGTTGTATGACTTGTTTCAGGAGCTTCCTCGTCCATCTCGTCCTCCTGGGCAACTGCAACATTTGAACTTCCAACCTTTTCACGAGCAGCACTCATGGAAGTAGAGAGAGCAGCTGAAGAAATAGCGAGTGGCTGCACTGCTTCAGAATTCGATGCCTCACGTGATGCAGCATTAGTCATGCCACTGAAACTGAACTGACTTGCAGATTGCAAATTGACCATAGGTTCACTTGTAGGTGTGGATGGTACAGATGTTTCAAGATTTAAACTAAATGTACCAGTGTGAGGCTTAGGCAGTGTAGGTGAAGTTTGCTTAGTAGAATTGTTATCTGCTTCTGAGTTAAGCTTGTTCATAAAAGGCTGAGACGCTGTTTTGGAGGACTCATCTGGTAAGTTCAAGAAAGTAGGGGGATTAGACGAGGGAACCAATTTCTCAGGAACCTGAAAACTGGAGCTAAAAGAAAATTTTGGAGTGGAAACTGATGACTTGGGGAGAGAGACTGTCTGATTAGCTTCCATCATGCCCTTAGAACTGGTTGATAAACTGCCTAATGACATTGCAGATGACGAGGTTGGTGCATTTGATGGAGTGGGTAACAAAGATGGGGGAGATGGTGATGAATTTATCATTGGAGATGATGATGGATTCAAAAATGATAGTGAGGATGCAGAAGAAGGTGATGTTATTTCACCAGGCTGGCTTTTGTTTGTTGCAGGACCAGACTGGAAAACTTTTTCACTTGGGCTCGGATCAACAGCAGACACAGGAGATAAAATAGATTCACGATTTCTCCCAGATTCAATGAATGGGCTTTCAGTAGTTATAAACCTATGTTTCACACTTGCAATTGTAGATTTTGAAAGTGCAGTTTCTTTATCATTTAAATTTGACATTTCACTGGATTTCTTTGGCAATGACTCTGTCTGCATTGGTAAACTGACGGGGACTGAAGTTTGATGTGCTTGGATTTCGAACTGCTGAACAGACTTAGTCTCATTGAATGAAAGAGAAAATCTTTCAGCACGCAGATTGCTACTTCCCCTTGCATTATTTGGCAATGGCTGAGATGTGGACTGTGATGAGAATGTGGAAAAACTACTACTTGGAAGTACGTGAATTGCTGGAGATTTCAATTCTATAGAAGGTGATGATACAGCATGGTCATCAGCCCATCTGGACAAAGCTGATTGGCTGTCAAAGGGCTGTCTTGCGGTTGAATCTTGAATGCCTGCAGAAAATAAGGAGCGCCGATCAGCAAAAATTTCGTGGATAGCTTTTCAGCGGAGGTGAATGCATTTTGATGTGGCTCACCTTTGTTTTCAGATGTACGCAAGGAGGTTGAAGAGGCGGTAAAATGCTTTTGGTGAACAACTGATGGTTCCATGGGAGGTTTAAGATGTTGCCTATCCGCCAAGAAGGATGATCTACTCGGACTAACCTTCCGGTGTTCTTCCTGCATATGCATCCTTTTTACTGTAGTTTTTGGAGGCTCATAACTAGCCCAACTCTGCATTTAGGTTTGTGAGAAGTAATACGCATATTAGTGATCCTTGAAGCAAGACATGTAAAGCTTCTGACAGTAAGTAAAGCTGTTAAGAAATATCTATTAGAAACACTCTAACGTGATAAAATTACCAGAAAAAGGGGTCATTACCCAGTATGGTCCCTGTTATCAAGGGTGCTGGAAGGGCAAATTGGATACAGACAAAGTGAATTACCGAAAAAAAGACATTTGCACAAATTGAATTACTGAAAAAAAGACATTTGCACAAAGTGGCTGCTCTCGTTATTATTTGTTTCAGACTACCACAAGTAGTAGATATTTTCAATAACCTGTGAACATATTGATATAAAAGGTGGCAGTGAAACACCACTTACTGGGGAACCCTGTCCAGGATGAACCTTGATAACGTTCCATAGAGTTGGGATCTTCTCTTTCTTTCTTTTCTTATTTATTTACATAAGCAGATGACGACATAACCATCATAATAATCATATATTATCAAATACTTTTTCTCTCTCTGTTGTTTTGTTGTCTTATTAGATGCTTTTGTTTGCATGCACTGAAGAACCTCTACAATTTAAAAGCGCAGGGTCTAATTCTACTGCAATGTATGTGTGAAGATGTTAGGTTAGTAGGACTAAGTTTTTTTTTATTTTATTTCGTAGATCAAAACTTGTCAAATGTTTTTTATTTTATTTTAGTTAGATAGATATGTTCTAATTGTGAGATCAGTGGAAATTACCTCTGAGATGAAGAACAAGCTACAACAAAGGTTAATTGGTAATCTTCATAAAAATGGTAAAAAGGTAAATTCATGCTCACCAAATAGGCTCATGCATTGCATATACATGGCATCTTAATTTCAAAGTTTTCAACACTAATTTTGATTCCTAAATATGCATGGGATTGCATGATTTCAACATATAAATCATGTTTCTGCAAAATTTCCTACTTATAAAAAACTGCAATATTCGATCAATTGAGCTATTGATCGAAACCTACTGTAATTGTCTCGATTGATCGAAGGGTCCGAAATTGCAGAGTTCAGGTTGGATTATGACTATGAATTTTGATCTGATTTAAACACTTTTATCGGTTGATTATAGATAGACATAATCTTGCTTTTACAACCGTTTTTTAATATATATATATATATATATATATATATATATATATATATATATATATATATTTTGATAAGTAAGAAAATTTTATAAAAGCGCTCAAAAGGGGAGCGAAACCCTGAGAATATACAGAAGGCCACAAAGGACCTTTAGGCCTTCAAAGAAGCCAAAAAATCGACAATTTAATCTAAAGATCCATGATCTCTCCCATAAACCCAACAAAAAAGAGTGGAAATAATAGAGAATTTAAAAGTAGAAATCGACAACTCCTTCACATCAAAATATCTTCTATTCCTCTCGAGCCAAATACATCACCACACAAAGAAGCGTAGCCCTCCAAGCATCCACAATGTGAGCCCCCACATGGCAACCTCTCCACGCCTCAATACACCCTCTAACGGATCCAGGCATAACCCAAAGAATCCCAAACAAGCCAAACATCAAATTTTAGCAGTCTCTAACCATGTTGCAATGGAGGAGAAGGTGATCCACAGATTCCTCATCCCGGAGACACATATAGCAGCGATTGACCACCACTTGATTTCTCCTTCTCAAATTATCTTGGGTTAAAATCTGTCCCAAAACAGAGGTCCAAGCAAAAAAGCCCACCTTGAGAGGAGCCTTAGAGCGCCAAACAGCCTTCCAAGGGAAGCGAGCTCTATGATCATCCGTGAGGCATCTGAAAAGGATCTAACCTCAAAGCTCCCATGAGAGGTGGCAGCCCAGGACCAACAATCAGAAATCCCATCCACAATCCTCTGGCGATACAACAACTCCAGAAAACGAATGGCCTCCTCAATCTCCCAATCCTGAAACAACCGCCTGAATCGAACATCCCAAACCAGTGACCCACTGTCAAGATGATAGCAGTTAACCACCATGGCCTGCCTATCCGTAGCAATCCTAAAAAGATGAGGAAAAGAGGTGGCGAGAGGAGATTCCCCACACCAAACATCCTCCCAAAATCTGATCCTCGTGCCATCCCTGATTCGAAAGCGAACGTGTTTGGAAAACTCATCCCAACCCTTCCGAATGACTTTCCAAACCCCCACACCTCAAGGGCCACGCACCTCCAAAGAACACCACCCTCCTCTAGACTCCCCAAATCGACAAGCAACGACCCTCCTCCAAAGCCAATGCCTCTCTACACCAAATCTCCACAGCCATTTCCCAAGGAAAGCCTTATTAAAAGGCACCAGTCTTCTAAGACCCAAACCTCCGAAACGAATTGGCCTGCACACCTGATCCCAACAAACCAGATGGAACTTAAACTCTTCACCTCTCCCCCCCCACAGAAAATTACGCTGCAATCTCTCAATCCTCTCCACAACTGAAGAGGGAATCTGAAACAGAGAGATAAAATAAGTAGGAAGGCAAGAAAAGGTACTCTTAATCAGAGTGACCCTACCTCCCTTGAAGAGATACTGCTTCTTCCAACCCGCCAACCTCTTCTCAAACCTATCCACCACAGGGTCCCAAACCCCAACATATTTTTGAATATATTTTTGAAAAGCAAAAACACTAATTTTGTTTTTATATTCAAATATTTTTTAGAGATTACTTATGAGATATTTATACATCTTTTGTTTACAACAGTCATCACATGCATTAGTATTTGGTGAGTAGTTGATTATATGTGTTGAGATATCCGCTGCTAAGCTATTGAAGACTATTCAACACATCCAGAAGAATCCACACCAAATTCTCATATTTGACAACTAGGGGCTTATGAAAATCACTAAAGAAACAGGTTCGTGAGGAAGAAATGTTGTTGACAGATCAGGAAGGCAACCTGGAGATCTTCAAGGGCATTGAAGGTTTGGCATCTTACTATGTCTAGAGACCAACTAAAGGTTCAAGGGTGCAGGACTGTGACTTAGGTTATACATCTCTTTCAATAATGAATTAGTTTCCTGGACTAGGTTTTGGGATTTTTAAGTCTCGATTGACGATTTTTCCATGTAAATTCCGGTGTCCTTTATTTATTGCTTTATTTATTTTATGCTTTGCATGCTTGTTACTTATGGAGATAATCAATCCATAATATTCAATTGAACGAACTAAAACAAGTTAGTTTATTTAATTAAATGTAAAATTTTAAATTGTTCTATAAGAACCCCCCCTTCTCCTTGTCTCGGTCTACATCAGCGGAACTTGGGCAACTTTGTTTCAGAGCCTCGAGTTCCGATTCTGATACATTTCACGCACGTAACCCATCAGAAGATGTGACCGTTTTGATTCAAAATGAGCATCTCCCTTCCCATTTTGCGCATGTGTTAACACCCCACAAATTACAAGCATGGCACCCACAAGAGATTTAAATCCTGCATTCGATGAAGAATTGAAGCCATCCATCTTATCAGATAAGCTTTCCCTTGTGCTCAGGATACTTGACACAATATGACGAGTTGGAATTAGTCCTAAATCCATGTTCTCTCTTCTTTTCCTACAATTTCACCTCAAGTGACTCTTGTCAGTTGAACAAAGCCCTCGTCTCAACCATTTTGGCTTACCTACACAAATCCTGCATCTGCATTGAGCTATTATATAGGGCTATACCTTTGTTATATTATATAGGGTAAAATGTAAAAAAAAACCCTGAACTATTGAGGTATTACAACAAAACCCCTGAACTACAAGAAAACCCCTGAACTATTGTTTTGTTGCAGTTTACCCCAGTAGCTCACCGGAAAAATAAAAAGACCATTTTACCCTTATTATAAAAGGGTGCATATTAATCCTTAACTAATATAACCTGCTGACATAGCGATGAAATATAAGTACCCAATGGAATTTTCCCAACACCTAAGAGATGAAGGGTATAAAACGACATAGTTTGAAGAGTGGTGCTACGTGACTGCCTTTTCTCTCTCTTTTCGTTTTTAGTTTTTTTTCTTTCTTCTTCATTACTAGCGGCGAAGAAGCCAAGCCACCGGCTCGGTCACTGCGGCTTTCCCTTTCCTTCGGCGAGATTGGATTTGGGTTTCACTAGGATTCAAGATCAATTGAAGACTCCGATGACTGAGAACAAAAAAAGGGAAAAAAAAGTGAAAAAGAAAGGGTTAAGGGTTTTGCAGAGGAGTATGGGAGAAGGGTTGTGAGCAGGAAGAAAGAGAAAGGTTTGGCAAAGGAAAAGAGACAGTTCATCTCTAAAAGCGCTAGAGAAGAGCAAAGATGACATCGGCGAGTGTTGTAATGCATAAAACGGAAGCGAAGATATAAATAAAACGAGTAGAACATACAAATACTACGTGGTTCAACCACAAGGGCCTACATCCACGACACAAAGAGCCCAAAGGGCTACATCACTTTATTATAATACTCTCTCAATTCATATACAATACAATGGTGGAGACTCCTTTATATAGGAGAAGAAATTATGAGAATGGTAAAAATTAGAAAATAAGAAACAAGAACGATTTTTCTCCATTGATTCCTCTAGTAGCACCAAATCTTCAATAATAGGAAACAACATCAATTACTAAAAGATTTTCCTCCACTGATTCCTCCATTAAATCTTCAATACTCCCTCTCAAGTTAGAGAATGAATGCCAACTTGCCATTGAGATGACGAGAAACAACAAGTGTGAATGATGAAGAGAGAAGAGAGAAAACAAAGAACAATGCTATTGAACACACCGACAACCCAAACAAGTTAACAAAAAACTGCCGGAGATACGGCAAAGGCGAGGACAATGCTGCCGAACACACCGGCAACCCAAACAAGTCGATAAAAATTGGCGGAGACACAGCAAAGACGAAGACAATGCTACCAAACACACCGACAACCCAAACAAGTCAATAAAAACTGCCGGAGACACGGCAAAGGCGAATAACATTACTGCCAAACAAACTAACAGCCCAAACAAGTCACAAATAGCACCGAGAAACCCTTAGCAACATTTTAGATGCTAAGGGAATACCCCAAAATAGGGGTCCAAACCTAGAAAGAGAAATTAGGCTCTGATACCATGTTGTAAAGTATAAAACGAAAGCGAAGAGATAAATAAAACGAGTAGAACACACAAATATTACATGGTTCAACTACTAAGGCCTACATCCACGACACAAAGAGCCCAAAGGGCTACATAACTTTATTATAATACTCTCTCAACTCAAATACAATACAATAGTGGAGGCTCCTTTATATATGAGAAGAAATTATGAGAATGGAAATAATTAGAAAATAAGAAATAAGGAGGATTTTTCTCCATTGATTCCTCTAGTAACACCAAATCTTCAATAATAGGAAACAACACCAATTATTGAAAGATTTTCCTTTACTGATTTCTCCATTAAATCTTCAATAGCGAGCACTATCTGAACAACGATGAAGTGTTCAGCGGTGAAGCGGCGGCGGCGGCAGAAAGCGTGGCGACAGAGCGACATGAAGAATCGTGATTCCGATGATGGCAGAGATTTCTGAACGGCGACGAGCACAGTGGCTATTCCGATGATAGTGAGATTTTTGAGATTTTTGCGATAAGCACGCCAGCGGTGGATAGATGGTAACAGCGGGCCGCCATCCCGATTCAAGGACTCAACAGGATGGAACTAGCCAGCGGCATGAAGTATTCTTACCAGTGATCACGGAGTCCGGTAGCGAGCAAAGATCGTGACTGTAAGAGGCGAACGAGGACTGCCAACAACCAAAGATGAATCGCACCGGCGGTTCTATTCTTACCAGCAATGCAAAGAGAGTGAAGAGGCGGGCGACGGACTTAGTTTACCTGCGAGAATTGGCATTGCTTGACACAGAGATTTCACGATCGATTCGGCATTGAGAATTGGGTCCGTGCAGTCTGTTTTTTTTCGGAGGCAACAGTTTTCGGCAATTTTAGCATTCCATGTGTATATATATATATATGGTATGTATATACATGGAATATATATGTGGTATATATATAAGAGGGGCAATTGAGACTTTTCAGATTTATAAGGGTAATATTGTCCATATTTTCGTATATCAGGCAGAGTTAGAAGCACGCGTGTCATATTTTGAACGGCTGTTCGCCAGATGGGGACTGCAACAAAATTGGTATGGCAATAGTTCAGGTTTTTTTTTCTTTTTTTCGTTTTTCTTTTTTTTTTTTTTTTTGCATTTTACCCTATTATATATATAAATTCTTATTTGTCATTTCTTAGAGGAAGAATCCATATTCTTTCTGTCTTCCCTTTGTCATTGACTCACTATTTTAACTTGGACCATGTCACCTTTTCTTTTCATTGATGTGGTAAATGATCTTTCACTCCACATGCCTTACCATCTTAACTCTTTTTTCTCTCAATATTTTCAAATCTATTGCTACTTTTAAAATTTTCTTTAACTGTGTTCATTTTTAATCTTATTTTTCATAGTCTTGCTACTCATGCAGCCACTTCATATCATTTAACTCGATATCTAAGGGAAACATACTCCTAAATTTCAGAATCCAAATAGTTAACTGAGCGTAGATAATGAGAAAGATCGAGTTGGCCAGAGTATGAAAAAGACAATAAAACAATCCTTTTCTTTTTCTTTTTTTTTTTTTTTTTTTTTTTTTTTTTTTTTTTTTTTTTTTCCAGAAGGAACAATAAAGCAATCTTTGCTAGCCAGAGTATGAACAATCTTTAGCGACTCTTCTCAAATTTCCCAGTGTTTGCTGGAGAGCAGGTGAGGTGTAGACAAATTTACACAAGACTCCAAAGCAATTAGACGACTGGAAGGGAAAAAAGATCCAAAAAGAAGAAGAAGAAGAAGAAGAACAGCTGAGGCAGAGCAGGATCTTCTTTTCACAAACAAAAATGGTGATTTCTTTCCAATTACTACATATTATCACATTAAACTTTAGAGGAAGTAACTCATGATCAACTTTCATAGCAAAACCATGGTCAAACATTAAGAATATCAGCCAAAAGTGTCTTTTGATACAAGTCATGGCACTAAGTAAAATTCATAGTCTATTCTTCTTGAGGAATATTTGAAAAATCAAACTTGACAAATAATATCTTTGCAAAAATAGCCCAACAAACTAAATTTGGCAATGGTTACTCTTCAATATATATATATATATATATCAACCAAGAATTTAAGTAGATTCTGGTATCAATGTAAGAAAAATAGTACCAATGGAGTCATTATGGGTTGCAGTAAGATTCCAAAGTAGAGATTAAGAATAAAATTAACAAGCATCAACAAAAAAAATTCCAAAATAGAAGTAATCAAAGAGTACTTTTTGCTACCATGTTGCATTTAGAAAATGGGAGAAAAGTGTGCGCACTGCCAGAAGAAACAAAGCCTGATTATATATAATATATAATGAGTGGAGGAAGAAATCCAATGTGTCCAATAACCAATTTGGATTAATGCCAGGAAGATCCACAAAGGAAGCTATTTACTTACTAAGACAATTAGTTGAAGAATGTAAGAGTAAGCAAAAGGATCTACATATGGTCTTTATCACCTAGAAAAAGCTTATGATAGAGTGCCAAGAGATGTAATTTGGTGGGCTTTACAAAGAAAACAAATATCTCTAGATATGTATCAAAATACCCAAACTAGAGTTCGCACTACATGTGGTGAGACTAGAGATTTTTCTATAAATGTGGGGTGGCACCAAGGGTACCTAAACTAGAGTTCGCACTATATGTGGCGAGGATAGAGATTTTCCTATAAACGTGGTTGCACCAAGGGTATGCACTTGGTCCATATGTATTCACATTAATTCTAGATGAGATTACAAAAGAGTTACAAGAAAACATCCATTGGTGCATGTTGTTTGCAGATAACATAGTATTATTGGACACTTTTAAAGATACCTTAGCAATTAAATTAGAGAGGTGGAAAAAACCCATTAGAATTGAAGATATGGAATGCAAATTTAGTACGGAGTCGTATCTTAATGATATAATGGTTACACTTCAAAAACAGAGATTATCCAAAGTGAACAAATTCAGTATTTAGGGTCATTGATACAAAAGGATGAAGATAGAGATGCTGATATAATTAGTAGAAGTGGTGCAGGTTGGGCAAAATGGAGGCAAGCGAGTGGTGTGTTGTATGGTAAACAAATACCATATAAACTAGTTATCACTATTTTATATGGAACAGAGTGTTGGGCGTTTAGAAAAATTAAAAAGAAGAACAAAGAATTCATGTAGCGGAAATGAGAATATTAGTATGGATGATAGGAGTGACTAGAAAAGATAGGGTAAGAGTGGAGAAAAATCCTCCTTGTTTCCTATTTTCTGTCTCCTTCCATTCTCATAATTTCTTCTCCTATATAAAGGAGCCTCCACCATTGTATTGTGTATGAATTGAGAGAGTATTATAAAAGTGATGTAGCCCTTTGGGCTCTTTGTGCCGTGGATGTAGGCCCTAGTGGTTGAACCACGTAATATTATTCTACTCGTCTTATATATCTCTTCACTTCCGTTTAATGCTTTACAACAGTAAGTTAGTAACAAACCAAAATGTTGGAGAAATTAGGCATGGCACCTATTAGTGAAGATATTAGAGAGAGAGTAGACTTAGGTGGTATGGACATATACATAGAAGACCTATAGATGCACCAGTGAGAAGAGGAAGGTTAATTTTCATAGAGGGTAGAAGGCAGAGGGTGTTCAAAATTAACATGGCATGAAATCAATAGAAATGATTTTAAAAAGTTACATATCAGAGGAGAGATGGCTTATAATAGAAAAGAATGGAAAAAGATAATTCATGCGGCTTGTCCGATTCATATGGGATTAAGGCAAGGATGATGATGAATTGATGATAAATGTATAATGGCCGCACCGCTTCATGTAAAGAAAATAAAATAACTTCATGGGGAATAGTAAAATAAGGGTGCTTTCAGATACAGCTATGGGCTGCCCTTGAAATTTGCTCAGAAACACCCATTACACATCTGCTGGGAATCTCTTGTGCACCTTATGCATAGTAACACTCTATAATACAATTCCAGATGGCACGACTTGCCAATCGGCCCAGTTGAAGTTTTATCATTTCTCTCGCAAACTGTAGACCCAATTCACCTCAATTACTTTGCAGGAGTTCCTAAAAGGAACCATATCTGGAACTTAAGTTTTACAATTATAACACACTACAAATATTTAATATGAAATAATAGGCGACTCGATGAATTGTTTCAGTAGATCCATGGCAAAAAATTCTATATGCATTAGGAAGAGACAATCCCATCTGACAAATCAGTACTTGGTTCAGTGATAAATAAGTTCTAAGAAGGCAAGCATGTATCCATGATAAGTTTGAAATACCATGCAGAAATGGCCTATTTATCTCGATGAATAACCACAGTGCAGGAGCAATCCAAAGAAAACATTACCTGATCGAGCGAGTCTCTGCGCCTCCTCGCACTTTCTAATTCAGAACTCTTCATGGCACTTGATTGGTTTCTCCTGTACTGATCCTTAACAGCAGCAGAACATGAAGTAGTTAAGAATTTCTTGTTTGATGGGGTATCATGAGCATTTTTTTCATCTGGAGAGCTGAAAGAGGCACCATCACAAAGAATCCCAATTGTCTCAAACAACTCTCTTTTGAAGTTCTGTTTTGTCATAGAAGGCGTCTCGATACTCAGAGCAGTCATTTGTCTCGAGAGACATTCAGAAAGTTGCTCTGCAGCTGCTAATTGCGAACTCATTGTATTATGTAAACTATGCAAGGACTGGACATGTCTACAAAAGTGAATACCTCCAATTAGACAACTATAATTGATTAGCGCATATCTAGTCCATTTATCAGTTCCTTACACATATACTACCATGCTAAACATATTTAAAAACAAAAGCTAACATTTCATAGTTAGTGATTGGAGGTGATACTAGTTCTCATGATGCCAAATTGGAATGATCAATAATGCTTGGAAATAATATTCAACAATAAACTGTTTTTCATACCTTGAAGGCCCATATTTACTTGGCAAAGTTCTTTGACCGATCCGAGCTCCAACATTTTCACCAAACTTATTGAGCTCAAGCGTATTGAAATGCCTTTCCAATTCAATCAGTTGATTGGTCAAATCCTGGAACAGAGAGAGAGAGAGAGAGGTGTGTACTGAATATCAAGTGGGGCAAATTCAACACTAGTAGAGAAGAATCTGATGATTCACCTGATTTACTTTCAATATATGTCGCCGCTTCAGCTCCAGTTCAGAACTCAACTTCTGGCGGTTCCAAAGATCCCAATATTGGCTATCAGTAGCTTGTTTAACAATGCTTTCCATATAAATTTTCCTTGCCAAAACTGGAAGACAATTCAATGATTATATGATGAATTTAAACTACGGATTAACCAATACATACAATTTCGATGAACGACTTAACAAAACATATCACCAAGTATCGTATTGTCATTAGATGTAGTTCAATTTAGCAACTAGAAAAGATCCTGCCCACTGTAACACAACTGCAACTACGTATACAAGCATGTAAATGCCGAGTACAATGACAGTTATGGATCGATGATTCACAAGCTACACGTGGCATCTAAGAGATCTTATCCTGACAAGTGTTACTGAGGTGGCAACCCAAATAGCATCACATTTATAACATGTTGTCACACACACCTTGTCTATGAGTCCAGGCGAAGGTATTGAATATAGGGGTCACCACGATCCCTCCGACCTCAATCTAATTAACTCTTACCTGCTTTGTTAACTATCATTCACAATTAAGTGACTGATTTTTAATTGAATGGTCTCCTTGACAGGGTTTTCCTCTGGGATTTAAAAAAAGAGCCATTAATGACTAATCTGAAGTGAAAAGTTGTTCACAAGCCATATGCTACATCTTAAGCCTCCTACATGCAGTAATCTCCACCGATTTCAAAAGGGACCCCAGCCATGAATATGCATTTCTATTGAGAGAACCTCTTCCTCTAATATAATTCTCGCCGTCAGTATGACACATGCTAACGAAATCTTCTCCTCAGATAAGCCTTGCTGCAGCATAACAAATAGTGAGAACCTCTCTTTTTAAATAAGCCTTGCCATGAGGACTTCTACTCCTTGAAAGACCTCCCTGCCTTCTCCATAGGTACTGCCAAAAGACTTACCACAAGGATTTTTCTTTCTACAGATAACCTCGTGAGAGACTCAAATACTACCATGAGAACCTCCTCTCTAAGATAAGCCTCAATGGACACATGAACACCACCACTAGAACCTTCTCTTTATGCATAAGCCTCGATGAAAACTTGACACCCTAATGCATCTTGTTCACTGTCTGAGCTGGGAGAGGGACTCAGAATTCTGTAAGCCTGGCGCTTGGCCAATAATCATTGACCATGGAATGAGTCATGCTTGATAGTTGATACCTATAGGATTGTAGGACGTATATGTTTAGTGGCCAAAACCAAGGTTTGTCAAGGTAACCTCTCCTCAATGCCTGTATGTACCTTAACCTGACTCAAAAGGCAAGAGATAACATGCACTCTCAAAATGATATACACCAGATATGATGTGGCCAATGGCTAGACATTTTTATAATGTCTGATCACGTGACTTAAACCATGCTTCACTAAAGCATTAAACACCTGTCTTACCTATTCGGAAATGATGATAACAGTCCTTACCTAGTCCTTATCATGCCTCAAACAAGTATCACCAGTTCACGTGTTGTCCCATAGAGCTATATAAAGGATGCGTGCCATCTCTTAGGAATAAATTCTATAAGTTGATCTTTGCTGCCAATTTGTATTTTCTATGGAGTGAAAGGAATGGAAGGATTCATAATGATGTTATTAGGTGCAATAGAACTCTTTTGAAATGTATTGTTCGGGAGGTTATGGATGTCTTGGGGGTTTGTCTCCAAGATGTTCTAACATAGTCTTTTCTGGTTTGTTTGGTTGGATAGGGGTCTTCTTCTTGTAGTGTGATCCTGTTAAGGGATTTCTTGTTCGGTGAGGGTATGCCTTCACTTTAATGCTTGTACACTATGATGTTTATATCTATAAATTTTTCTTCATTTAGGAAAAAAAAAAAAAGGATGTGTGCCACAATCAATTTCTTCTTCATGCTAAATAGGCCTTAACCTTACAATTCAGAAGGCAGAAGATATTGACCTCATATGTGAGACAAACCACTGAAGCTTCCTCAGAACTAAGTGAACTTTGGAGCTTCTAAAGATACCAGATTGAGGAATCGTCAATCTTTCTTAATGTTGCTAATCTTTCTCTCTCACCAGCAATTTTTTTGGGATTCTTCTTTCATTGTCATTTGATCAATGTGGACACAAAAAGGTTCAAGCGATTCTAGATATGCCACCTCTGGCTCCACTGAAGCAAGTCAAAAGTTTTTTTTGCAAGGTGTCCTATCTTGGGCATCTCAATCCTGCCCTATCCTGGAGGCCCTTGCTTGGTGGGCTTGGGTTTGCTGGTATTTCAGAGAAGGATAGGGTTTGGTGGAGCTATTGAGTGCCCTTGTTCCGAAGAAGGGGAGCTATTGAGGATAAGGACTTTAGACCGATTAGCTTAGTGGGTTCTTTTTATAAGCTTTTCGCTAAAGCCCTAGCCATCTTCTTGAGGAGAGTTATGGAAGTGGAGATTTCGGATTTCCCAGAATACGTTTGTTGGAAGCCAATAGATCTTGGATTTGGTGGTGGTTGCCACTGAGTGCATTGAGTCCAAGATCAAGAGTGGAGTGCTTGGATTGTTTGTAAGTTGGATATTGAGAAGGCCTATGATCGTGTGAGTTGGGACTTCTTGATGTACAATGATGGATGGGTTTTGGGCACAAATGTAGGAGATAGGTTCGCCACTGCACATCGATTAGGGCAATAAATGAACCAAACGTTCGCCAAACAGCTCGAGCTCGGCTTGCTAAGAGTTCGGTTTGTGTTCGTGTGTTTAATAAACAAACCAAGCTCAAACAAAATTCTTTGGCTCGTTTATTAAACGAGCCAATCTCAAACACCTCTCCGTTTGGCTCGTTTGTTTGTGAACGCAGTCGTGAACATGCTCATTTAAAGGCTTGTTTTGAGCTCAAATTATATATATATATATATATATATATACACACACTTTCTTTTGAGTCCATGTAATATTTAATTAATCCACATTAATATTTTATTTTAACCCATTAATAAAGGTCATGACCAAGTCCAAGTCCAATGCAGCCCAACCCAACACTCATAACATTTCATCCCTTTTAAAAATAAAAGAGTCCAGCCACAAGCCCATCTCCATTACAGCTCATCTGTGTAAAAACCCTTATCTTTCTCACCTTATTGAAAATAAAACTAACCCAAACCCATTTCCCCCTTTATCTATCTAAACCACATCATTATCTGTTTAACCACCCCCTCTCCCAAACACCCTACGAGATAGCAGCCAAAACATTAATCTGAAAAACGAACCCACCGAAATCGGCGACCGCTGCAAAATGGTACTCTGTCAGGTTAGTTGCTCCCCCTCTCCCCCACTCCACTTCATCTGGCCTCACTTCTCTCTTCTCTTCATTTTGACAGGATCAAAGTTGGGAGTATTTTTTTAATTATGTAAGACTTCGGAGATAGAAACACTGAAGATTGATGCGGAAATCAATATCAGTGGACTTTGGAGATAGAAAAATTGAAGATTGATATGGAAATCGGGGGTACACAGATTTATATATGCAGTTTGTTTTTTTATTTTTTTTATTGGTATAAATAAACGAGCTGCCGAGCCACGCTCGATCCTGGGCTGGCAAAGCTTGATCGAACTTGAGCCGAGCTCGAGCATCGTGACGAGTCGAGCCCGAACAGCCCAAATCTCAGCTCAGCTCAAATACAGCCCTAATATCAACGGTCTAATTTTCTGTTCTGGTGAATGGCCCTCCAGCTGGGTTATTCTCTAGCTCTCGTGGCTTGCAGCAGGGAGACCAGCTCCTTTTTTGTTTATCATTGCAATGGAGGCTTTCAGTACATTGATGAGGAGGGCGGAAGAGCCGGGTCTGATTAGAGGTTTTTTTATGGGAAGAGCTCCCAACCTGGTGGTCTCTCAGTCTCTCTTTGTGAACAATACCATAGTTTTTTGTGATGCGAGGGAGGAGCAGCTAAGACATTTGAGATGTGTTTTGATTTGCTTCCAAACAGTCTCTGGCTTGAAGATCAACATTGGTAAGAGCGAGTTAGTTCCAGTTGGGGTGGTAGAGGAGATGCATGACTATGTTGATATCCTTGGATGTGGGATTGCCTCCTTCCTGATCTCTTATTTGGCTTTTGTTGTTGGGAGCTTCTAACTCTTATGAAGAGCACCCTTTTGAATCCTCCTAACCTATTTTATATCCTCCTTTCCGATGCCAATGTCAGTTATCACAAGGCTAGAGAAGATCGAGAGGAACTTTCTGTGGGGGCTATAAGTTCAAATACCACTTGGTGATTTGGAAGAAGGTGTGTACTCCAACTTAGACAGGGGTTCGGGAATTTCCTTTAAGAGGTTGGATTCGATCAGCAAGACTTTGTTGGGTAAATGGCTTTGGAAATTTGGTAGAGAGAGGCTTAGACTTTGGAGGAGGGTCATTGCTTGCCGAAGTGGGGAGGGAGTTGGTGGGTGGTTGTCTAGTGAGGTGAGTTCTCCTTCAGGGGTGGGGGTTTGGAAGCTCATCGGAAGGGCTAGGATGAGTTTTCTAACGTATTCACTTCAGGGTCAGGAGTGGGAGACATGTCAGGTTTGGGAGGGCCTCTAGTGTGCGGACATTGCTATGGCTTGCACGTTTCCTCCGTTCAGGATCACTACAGATAGACATGCCCGAGTCATCGACTGTTATCGTCTTGATAGTGGGAGGATGAATTGGGATGTGCAATTTCGGAGAAAGTTCCAAGATTGGAAGTTTGCAAAGGCAACAGAGTTCTTAGCACTATTGTTAGTCAGGTGATGGAGGGGGAGGGGGAGGGGATGGATGAGTTGGTTTCGATGGGCTCCCCAAGAGAGGTTTTTGAAATCCGTTCCTTCTGCTAGAGCCTTTTGGAGATTCAAGGGTCCTTCATTCCCTTGGAAGGTCATCTGGAGATCCAAGCCCCTCTAAAGGTGGTTTTCTTTGCTTGGTCAGCCGCCCTAGGGGTGATTCTCATCTTAGACAATCTTAGGAGGCGTCAAATTGTGGTGAATTTGTGTTGCATGTGCAAAAAAGCGGAGGAGTCGGTGAATCACCTCCTTCTCCATTGCCCAATGGCGAGGGATGTCTGGTGTATGTTTTTGGCTGCATTCGGTATGGGTTGGGTGTCTCTCGGTTCTGAGGCTTGGAGATGGTGTATAGTGGATAGTCGAGCCACAAATACTTGAAGGGCCACTTCCCTTTGTTTATGGTGGGGCTTGTGGCGCGAGAGAAATAGGAGATCCTTCGATGGAGAAGAGTCTCGTATTTGATCTCCCGAACACAACATATTGAGTTCTTTATTATTTTGGGTCATTGGGTAGAATTGTAAATCTGTGGGGGATTTTGTAGATTTTGTTGATCGTTTGAAACTATTGTTGGTCGTTTTTGGCTCTATTGTTTTTCCACTTGGGAGCGCTCCCCTCGAGCGCCTTTTAATGAAATCTTACTTATCAGAAAAAAAATAATAATAAAAAATAAAAATAAAAATAAGACCGAATCTTCATTCTCAAGTATCAAGGAACACCAAAAGGCTTTCAATGCAATAAAAGAAGCTTTCACTTTTCCTTCACTGTTATAGTGCATCGAGCTGATCTGCATATGCTTCTCTACCTCACCTCTATGCAGAGGTCCTTTGAGGCTCTCCTAGCACAAGAAATTGATGCACAAAAACAATCGATTTATTTGTTTATTTATTTTTTCCCAGATAATCTATCATAAAGGATATGGTGACCATATGGATTCGTACTAAAATATATTGTCATGCCTTAGTCTTCGCTAACTCGGCAGTTCAGCAAAATACCTCCTCACCACATCATCCATCTCATTGCAAAATGTGATGTTGAGAAATCTACTTCCGAAGCCTGCCCTCTCTGGAGGGACAGCAAGATGCCTGCTGCTCACAGAATTCAAAATTATCCGCTTTCCGCCGAAAGCATTGAAATGCCAAGCACTGGCTTATTCAAGTGGATAATTCAAGCCACCCTCCGAGACTTATTATGACATGAGGTGCAGCAGCACTTGCAATGGACAGCCTATCTGAATCCATTCTCTTATTTGACGAATTACCTTGTTGAGGGGGTTTGATGTAGGCATCATGCTCACATTAGAAAACAGATCAAAGGTCAATTTATATTAAAAGCACAGATGCTCAAACGACCAAACTAATTTCAGGGGCTCATTCTTAGCCTCTTTTCAGCATTTGAAGTCAAACCAACCTCAGGTACAGAGCATCAGGAAACCAACCCTTGCCAACAATGGCACCATTGTCCAGAGGCTTGGCGACGCATCTGATTCCATCAGCATCGAGCATGTCTCGCATTCCACACACAGTTACCCAGTTTCCCTTGCAACAATTGCGTGACATGGTCGAGGATTTCCACATAGGCGAAAAAACTTGAAAGAACATAGCAAAATCATCTTGTACATCCAGAGGAAGTTGCTTCAAACTGGCAGGAATCTACTGTTGAACAGCTTCAACTTATGAGTGAGTCATCCCATTAGTAAAAGACTTTGAGATCCATTACAATATTCTAACCATTGTGCCCCCAGTGGCATCCTCATCTGATGCTAAGGACTGAAGGAAGCAATGGAAAAACTTGACTTTGTCCACAAAAATCATATGGAATTCAACGGTGTTAGCTTTATCGTTGGATGTGGTGGCAAGGATATTTTTGTTGTTGGAGGCAATCTACAAACTTGACTTTGTCCACAAAAATCATATGGAATTCAACGGTGTTAGCTTTATTGTTGGATGTGGTGGCAAGTATATTTTTGTTGTTGGAGGCAATCTACCATGACTACCTCAAAGAAGGTTAAGAAGCAACTCCTTTGTTCCTTCACCAAAGCCAATTTCATGATTAGATTAGATGGACAATCTCTGTGATGTCTTGCTAAAAAGACATCTTAGGAGTCCTCTAAGACTACCAAGATTTAACATCAAGGGCAACAAGCTATTGAAATTCCATGACAACAACTCAACCAGTGTTACAACCCAAATCAAGCTTTTTGGATTTAATCAGTCAATGATTTCTAACAAAGCAAATAGAAATGCAAAGCTCCCAAAGCCCTTACAAAGGAAGGGAACTGCATAACTTGTGGTGTTTAGGAAAACAACTCATCCATATTTCAGATACAAAGTTCTCATTATCTTTGATTAGCTACAGAATTTCCCAGTAAGACGGTTTTTTCCCAAGTGTGCATGATTAATCAAGTGTACCACTAAAATTACGCATAAAAACCTCCCCAAGTTGGATAACCTTCATGTTATCAGGACAGTGGTAAATAAATCCACTGCATCTTCATTCTATTTAATAATTTGAAGTTGAAATATACCTTGCACAGTTTTATCTAGAAGTTGTTGGATCTCCTCAAGCTGCTTACCCATTATGCTCTACAAAAAGAGGGATAACGAAAAAAGAAAAATAAATACAAAAGTTACTAAACAATCTTATATGTAACAATTGGCAACAATAAGCATCTACAGAATATTTGAATAGGTTGACATTTTGAAAAATTTAAGAAAAATAAACAGCAGGAAAACAAATCAGAAGCACCTCCAATAATATTTGCAGATGCAAGGAACAGTAAAGCACAGAGTAAGAAGAAATGAACAATAGAATCTCTAAAGACAGAAGTCAATGCCAAATGGAATTTTCATGTTGAAGCATATGTCTGAGTTTTAGCTACCAGGGAGTTTTGATTCATTATATTGATAACATGACACATTATTAAGACTGGAGAGTATGGTATTCATTTTTTTTGATAAGTAATAATAACATAAAAAAGGCGTTCAAAAGGGGAACGCGTCCCTTATACAAGAATGGAACCGGGACTACGGCCCCAAAGAATCCAAAAAAATAATTAAATCATCAGAAGAAGAGCAAGAACTCCTCTTCACATAATTGAAAAGAGAACGAAGAATGTGATGTTTCACCATTGCCGTAGACGACTCTTTATCTTCAAACATTCTACTATTTCTCTCCTTCCAAATGCACCACCAAACACAATGTGGGACAACTCTCCAAAAATCGCATACATCCCTTCTCACACGACATCCTCTCCATACATGAATCAATTCCTTAGTAGATCATGGCATTACCCAACACGTGCCAAACAACCCAAAAATAACATTCCAACAATGGTTCGCCACAGGGCAATGCATAAGGAGGTCATCAACAGACTCCACATCTTTCTTGCAAAGACAACACCGATTAACAATACAATTGCCCATTTTCCTTAAATTATCAATTGTCAAAATCTTTCCCCAAACAGTAGTCCAAACAAAGAAAGCCACCCTAGTTGGAGCCATGGATCGACAAATAATTTTCCACGGGAAATCATGATTAACAAAATGAGACAGACATGAGAACAGGGATCTTACTTCGAAACGACCGTGGGAAGAAGGAACCCAAATCAAATCATCATTTTCTCTGCCAACACCCTCCTGCCGATACAGAAGATCCAAAAAAACACATACCTCATCCATCTTCCAATCCTGAAAAGAGCGCCGAAAGTGCACATCCCACGTAATCCCACTGCTATCAAGACGATAACAATCAGCTACAAAGGCATGTTTATCAACTGCAATACTAAATAATCTAGGAAATGAACGAGATAGTGGCTGATCACCACACCAAAGATCTTCCCAAAACCGGACGCGACGTCCATCACGAACTTTGAATCTGATATGAGCAGAAAAGGCGTCCCAACCCTTCCGAATAGACTTCCACATCCCTACTCCTCTCACAAGAGTAACCGGACGTGTAGACCAGCCTCTATCTTCTTCCCCAAACCAACAGGAAACTAACCTGCGCCAAGGGCGGTGTCTTTCCCTCCCATATCTCCATAACCATTTACCCAGGAGGGCTTGATTGAAAGGAACTATTCGTCTTATGCCAAGTCCACCCAATTTCACAGGCTTGCAAACTTGCTCCCATCTGACAAGGTGATACTTGACCTCATCTCCCCTTCCTCCCCATAGGAAATCCCTTTGAATTTTTTCAATCCTATCCGCAACGGAACAAGGGATTTGGAACATAGAAAGAAAATAAGTGGGAAGGCTCAATAACATACTCTTAATAAGAGTAACTTTACCCCCCCCCCCCCCCCCCCTAGACAAATATTGCTTTTTCCATCCTGCTAATCTCTTCGCACACCTGTCAATCACTGAATCCCAACTCCCCACTATCCTTGAAGAGACCCTTACGGGCAACCCCAAACATTGTTGTTAAAGGAGCCGGAGGTGCGCGCTTGAGGCGCAAGGCGCCTCCAGGCGCCACCTTGGCGCCTTGATTGCCTTAAGGCGACTGTATTGTACTAGGCGAGCGCCTTTTAGACAAAGGCGCAAGGCTACAGGCGCTCTAAAGGCGCGCCTGCTTGAAAAAATAGTTTATTTAAAAAAATTATTTTGTTATTATTTTGGTTGTGTATGGTTTATTATTTGTTTATTGTTAGTTTTTATTTGTTTATTACAAAACTGTCAAAACCTATACAAGTCTTACTGCCGGTGCCGGTAAGTTCTCCTTCCCTCTCTTCTTCTTCTCTCCTTCTTACTTCTTCTCTTCTCGGATCTCTCAGTCTCACTCTCAGATTTTTTTTTTTTTTTCTCTATTCTTCTTCTTCTTTTCTTCAGTTCTTCTTCTTCTCTCGGCTCTTGCTCTTATTTTATTTTTTTTTCTCTATATTTTTTATTTTTTTATTTTATTCTTCTTCTTCTTTTCTTCTTCTTCTCTCGGCTCTTCTTTTATTTTTTTATTTATTTTTTTAGGCTGGTCCTCTGTTTTTATTTATGTTGGTCTGAATGTGTTTCAACTTCCTTCCACCCTCTCTCTCTCTCTCTCTCTCTCTCTCTCTCTATATATATATATATATATATATATATATCCTCACTTTTGAATAAAAAGTGGGGACTCCTTTTGGCCGAGGAAAGAAAATTATGTTAGTAGTTCAACTGTGCTGTGGCTGCTTAGCATATTACTCATTAGATTATCAAAATTGTTATAATTAAGTGATTTAGGATGTAAATTCATGTTAATATAATTTTTGTAAAGCCCTTTTTTTGTGGGGTTTGGCTGCTTAGCATATTACTAATAAAAATAATCTGTTTTTTTTTTTATTTTTATTTTTTTGCTTGTCTAGATTAGTGCCTTGTATGTGTTTGAACTTTGATGATCAATCTATTTATGTTATAGAATCAATCATTCATGGTGCTTATTGCTTATAGAAAATTAGATTGATTTGATTTGAAAATATAGCACATCCTTGTGGTTTTTGCAAGATAAATTCATAATTTCTATTTAATGCATCCAAACATGGTGCTTGCAGCTTGCAAAAACGTTTTATTCGGGTTTTTTTTTCTTTTTCTTTTTTTTTTCACCGTGCGCCTTACTCCAGTCGGGCGCGCACCTCGCCTTGCGCCTCAAGCTCCAGGAGGCATTTGTGCTTTTGTGCACCTTGAGCCTTTAACAACTATGACCCCAAATAAGGAATAAGGAAAGAGCCCACCTGCATCCAAGAACTGCAGCTAAGGAGGAGATATCCTGAACATTCCCTACTGGGACAAGCACACTCTTAGCCACATTGACCTTTAGCCTGAAAACCGCCTGAAAACAAGTTAGGATGCACCTTAAATAACGAAGTTGAGACACATCAACATCACAAAAAACCAAGGTATCCTCTGCGAAAAGTAATTGAGAAATCTCCATCTGATAGACTAAATCTCTACCCACTCTGAATCCCTTAATAAAGTCAAGGTCCTCTGCCTTGCACATAAGTCTGCTTAAACCCTCCATAACAACAAGAAAGAGGAAAGATGACAAAGGATCACCTTGTCTTATGCCCCCGGGTGCAACTAAAGAAACCAGCGGGAGAGCCATTCACAAGAATTGAAAACTTGACAAATGAAAGACAAGTCCCGATCCACTTCCTCCATTTGTTTCCAAACCCCATTCTTTGTAACAAATAGAGTAGGAAATTCCAATTCACATGATCGTATGCTTTCTCAAAATCAAGTTTGCATAAAACTCCAAGAATACCGCTTCGCAATCTGGAATCCACACATTCACTAGTAATAAGAACTGAATCAAGAATTTGTCGTCCTCCAACAAAGGCATTCTGGGAGTCCGAAATAATCCCATCCATTACTTCCCTCATCCTTGGAGCAAGCACCTCAGCAATAAGTTTGTAAACACAACCCACCAAGTTAATTGGACAAAAATCCTTTATGTCAGAAGCGCCTCCCTTCTTGGGTATAATGGCAATAAATGAAGCATTAAGAGACTTCTCAAAGACGCTAGAAGAATGAAATTCCTGAAAAGTACCCATTACCTCATATTTTACTATCGCCCAACTTTCCAACAAAAAACGCATAGTAAAACCATCAGGCCCCAGAGCTTTGTCCCCATTTTTTTATTTTTATTTTTTATTTTTATAAGTAAAAATATATTAGAAAAATGTTCAAAAGGGGAACGCATCCCTAATACAAGAGAAAAGATTTAAGGACCAATAGAATCCAAGAGATCAAAGAAATCATCAATCGAGGAGCATGTACTTCCTCTAACATAAAAGAATAAAGAACGAAGAATATGAATTTTTAAATTAGCTAAGGACGATTCTTTTCCTTCAAAGGATCTGTTATTTCTCTCACGCCACAAACACCACCAGACACAGAGCTTTGTCCCCATTACAACTTGATAAAGCCTTTAGAACTTCTTCTTCAGTAAAAGGATTCTCAATCCTATCTCTATCCAACTCAGATATAGCCTCAAAATGAAGACCATCAAGTTTAGGTCTCCAAACTAAAGGCTCGGTGTAAAGCTTCTGAAAAAAGAAGCAATCCCGTTACGCACCTCCTCCTCTCTCGACACCTTCCACCCAAATTCTTCCAATATGATTACCTCCTATGAGCGTTAGCTAATCTGTGGAAGAATTTTGTATTACTATCCCCTTCTTTTAGCCAAAGGGCTCGAGATTTTTGTCTCCACGAGATCTCCTCCATACAAGCAATCTTAGCAAGAACCGGCTGACAGGAGACTGTCCTAGAACGTAGAGACTCCACATCCCCACCCGCCTTCTCAAGACAGTCAACCTCGGAAATATCAGCAAGGACTCTATTCTTCCTCCATTCCAGATTCCCGAAAACATCCTTGTTCCACTGCTTAAGAGCGAATTTGAGAGCTCTTAACTCCTTTGTTATTATGAAACTGGGCGAACCTGAAACAATAACTCCCTCCCACCAAGATCTGACTTGCTCTTGGAAATCCTCTGCACGTAGCCACATATTCTCAAATCTAAACGGGGTTCTTCGAGAACACAAGCCCCCACAATCCAAGACCAAAGGAATATGATCAGAGATGACCCTTGCTAACACCGCCTGAATGACATCCGGGAATTTCTCTTCCCACACCCCAAAAATTAGAAATCTATCCAGTCTTGAAAGAGTGATTGGATCCCTGCCATTCTACCAAGTATAGGCTACACCAATATCATAAATTGATCCATTTCCAATGACCTTCTTCCCCCTGTAGACCTCTCTGATGGGGACCTGACAGAGTTGAAATCTCCTCCCAAACACCAAGGGAGAGACCACAATCCTTGGACATGACTAAGCTCCTCCCAAAAGATGGATCGCTCATCATCAATAACCAATCCATAGACTCCTGTAAAGACCCATCTGAAATTGTCCTCTTCCGTATTAAACAGACAAGACATAGAAAATCTCCCCATCCACACGTTCGTTCTAGATAACCATCTACTGTCCCACATGATTAAGATTCCACCCGAAGTACCTATGGTATTCTTTTTTTACCAAAGGAATCATCAACTATCAACCTGCTCTAGATAGCACACTAAAGCTAACTTTGATGAATTTTCCCAGAGATATCTAGATTAACTGGGAATTGGTGGATATTACAAACTTGATGAGGATAGGTGAAAATTACAAACTTGATGAGGATATCATTTTAATCCCCCCAAAAACAGCATATCAAGCTTGGTTACTGAAAATCTTAAATGCTGGAGATTGGAGGAACAAATTGTGGAGGATAACTTGGCACCTAATTTAGTTAGCTACACTACTTAGAGATTGGTAATGTAGTGTACATAATCAGCACCACTTGGCATCCTCCGTCACATATTCATACTCATGATTTCCTAGAAATACCATTCCAGAAGTGTAACTTCCTAGATAAAAGGAGAGATTCGACTTTTAAGGTTTTTTTTTTCTCAGGATCTCATTCCTGCTTATACATCATCAGAATGTAGGCTGATATTTTTGTTAGTTTGTTGCCTTCTTATATTCCATTTTTTTGCTAATCTCGCTCACGCTCCATTTTCATATGCGGTAGGAAACCGTTAAACTTTTCCTTCTATGTTTTATATCTTATTTTCCAAGTTTTCATTTAGTATACATTACGAGAAAAAAGAAAACACAAGTGGCACGATGACACCATAATCTAGTAATAGGAGTATAACAAGGAACAGCAGTTGACAGAAAAAATATATTTATAATATCTTGTAAAACAATTATAAAAGCTAGAGTGAACTAGTTTGAGAAATATTGTATGAAATAGAACATAAATTGTGATTAAAAAACAAACCCTCCATATCATGCATCTATCAGAAGCAGCCCGTATGCCTTCCTCTAATGCTACAACTGAGCTTTCTTGCAAAACAGTGCAGGCGTCCTTGAAACCACCTGGTTCTTCTATACATCTTAATAGGGTTTCCAGTTCTTTGGCCATCTCTTCAACCTGAAAGATAATACATACCAAGTGAAATAGAAAACATATTATCCTTAGTAAATGATACAATGGATATACAAGTGCAGATTATGGTAAAAATACAAACAAAAATAAAACTGTTGACCACATGGCAAAACAGGAACAATAAATTCTGCCACAAAAGAAGGGAAAAAAGAAAGAAAAAGAAGAAGAATTTATTACATTGCCAGATTGTTTAGATAGGTGTGGCTCAGAATTCAGTATTTCTGTTGGGGAGGAGATTCTGTAGTTTTCCTTGTTGGGACGAAATTTATAGCCGGATGCTTTCCCCAATGCAGAATTTTCTTGAGATGACAACTGAGAGATGCGAGTGGCAGGCAATGGTTCGATATTCCCTACCCCTGTTGAAGCCTTTTGTACACTATGGGTGCCAGAAAAAATTGCTGAAGTTGATTGGCGAGCATTGTCTTTTGAAACTCCAGAAAAAGATGCAGTACTTAGTCTTGTGCCAGAATTATCAGTTTGGTTGCTCTGCACGACGGTGGAAGGTAAAAAGGAAAATCCTCCATCAGAATTCTTTGAAAAATTCGGTTGTCCTCCTGACCAGGATTGAGATAAAGCGCTCTGCACGCTAGTAGTTCCAACATTTCCTGGTAATTCTTTACCAGCCTCAATACTATTCTTTGAATCTACAGGAATAGGTTGGCTTGATTTAACAGTTGAAAATCCTCCTAAAAATGAATCAGTCTTTGATACCACGCCAGAAAGTTTTGGAGTTTCTGTCTTGCTGAAATCTTTAGTCACAAGTCTAGGACCCTCTCCATCAGATGTCCTCAAAGTTGTCTGTCCTAGCATTGTGCCTTGCTGACCAGTAAGAATCAATTCTTGACCATCTTTATCTTGGTTCAGCTTTATGACAGGAACTTTTGGCTGCCCATCAGTTTCAAATGACCGCAAATTTACACCAGTTCTCACTTCCTGGTTTCTGGTAATAGTTTCCGCGGGAGATATTTGATCAGTAATCCTCGTTGAAGATTTGTTCCCTTCAGGAAGCTTTAGGTCATTTTTTATATAAATTTCATCATCTTTTTTGGTAATAAGCTCCTCCTTGTTTATTTTCTGGGAATGAAAACCCATAACTTTCCGTTCTATGCTTTGTTCTGCTGATCCAAAAGAAATTTTGGAAAGACCATGTTCGGAAGGTACCACTGCAGGAGTATCCTCTTCCTCATCTTCCTCATCGGAAAGTGTGGACAGAACCTCAGCTGGAGATGGAATACCCGAGACACTACAAAGAAATTGGTTCAATGTTTAACATATAACTTACCACGGACAAGATGCTCAAACTACCTGTAAAAGCTAAGCCTACATGTGCAAATAAAAAATCAGCACAACAATATGAATTTTAATGGTGAGAGTACCTGGTAACGTGGAAAAGGACAAGTTTTCCCTCGAGAGTAAGACACAGAAGAACGCAATATGGTGAGAGTACTTTCTCTTCTTCTCCAAGCTTGAGTTTAAATTTCTCATTGCTGGAAACCTTGTCAGCACAGAGCCCCAAGATCAAATTGTCATCGCCATTTTCTAGAACATAAAAAGTGGAAGTTGTAAGGCAAGCTTAAATGAACCCATAATCATATAATGTTCAGATAAATCAAAGGTTGATAATTTAAGATGGAGCCTTAAGGTGGATAAGCATGGTGGTCCTGTGATTGGATCAAAATCCTCTCCGGTGCAACAGTGTATCTGTTGCAGCCGGTGAGTTTTGTTTGGGATACATATTACCAAAATGTTGGGATTTTGGCCTTATGTCCCAACATTTTCCTAACGTACATCCCAACTTTCTCCTAACGTGCAACCCAACACTTTCCTAACGTACATCCCAACGCTTCCCTAACATGTATCCCAATTTTTTCCTAACATGTGTTCCAAAAAGACTCTCCGGCTGCAACAGATATAGTGTTGCGCTGGAGAGGATTTTGTTCCCCTGTGATTAAGTACAGTGAGCAACGCCAAAGTCTTTAGGGGCTTGTGAATGAGTAGGTAAGATTAAGGGTCAAGGGAGGATATAGCCTTGAATTGGCTGAGATTTAAGGCTGATTTTGATATGAAAGAATTATGCAGATTACAGGAATTTCTGAAAAGCAAGAGAAAATTAAGAGTTACTGTTTGTACTATAAGATTTGGGTATTTTAGAAGGGCCCATCAAGGCTATTAAAAGTGCACAGAACTTCTAGAAGAAGATAACCTTAGAATCCTCCCTCACCAGCCCCCAAACTCCCCCCTCCCCCCGGGCGGGCGTTGAATATAAACCTTAGAATCTTGCTTACAGAGAAGCATGCAAACAAAGGATTTCTTATTAAATCATTTGGAATGAAGGATTGCCTGAACTAATTAAGACTCACTTAATTCCAAACAAGTAAACAATTTGATATAACAAATAACAAAACCTTACTAGCTTGGATATTGAAGAGAAAACATAAAATTACTAATTACACCTAATCTGCAAATTACAAGAGACCACTGGTTATGAAAAAAATGATTTACTGTATTCAAAAGGAGTTAGAATCACTTGGGTTCTTTTAAACTCATATAAAATTCTCTGCTCACATGCCACATATGGTGGGGGTCCTCTGTTCCATTGGTGGGCATGGGTATGCCCCTCTTTTTTCTTCTTCACAAACCATACACTTCAAGGTACCAATCCCTATCAGATGAGCTTCCCAAAAGTAAATCACCGGCATTTCCTTACAAAATTAGACCAAATTGTCAGGAGCCAAGGAGGGTTTCTCCTAAAGGTAGAAACAAGAACAAGTAATAATACAACACCAAACCAAAAGAGACCCAAAAAGGTTATTAATCCCTTATAAAATCCTCCAACTTGAGATAATTAATAATGCAGCACTGTGGCGACACACACAAGTGTCAATATATGTGAAAAAATTCCTTTGAATGAGAATTCCATTTGGATCATCCCATGAACTTAAAATTACAAAGATATGTATGGAAGCTTAATTATTATGCTTTCCCCATATACGAACATAATAATAAGTTGAAACCATGTGGTCGGAAGTCATAATTGAGTATTAACATGAGATTTTCGCCCTTTAATGAATAATCAATTAATTTGGTCATTGTCTTTATCAATCTCTGGGGTACTTTTCTACATGAAGATATATTTGCTTAAAATAATGGAAGTAAGGGTATGTAGACAAACTTCTAAGTATCAAAACTCTCAGTTAGTCATATTTTTGACATTATGAATTAGGGGTGGCAAATGGGCGGGTTGGGTGGATTTGGGCCGGGTCGTATGTAGGTTGTTGCCCATATTCAACCCATTATGACGGGTCAAATACGGGTTGGGTCAACCCGTCATAACCCATTCTAATAGTAGCCCAACCCATTTATGGTTTTCACAAACTGATCCATCTATTGCGACCCATTCCACTTATAAGACCCAACCTGTTTTCCATAAATCACATTCTCTCTCTCTCTCTCTCCCCTCCTTATGTACTTCTTCGAGATATTAAAAAAGTTATGTTGATCCAAATAATGGACCGACCCGTTTATAAACCTGATCCATTTACCATGACCGACCAGTTTTGCAGATGGTCAGATCACCTCCCCCCAAGCCATACTTCTAAAACTTTTTAAAAGAGCAGATTTTATTTTATTTTCGTGGACTTTAAGATATCAATTTTTACGAACTGCATTATTAAACAGAATATGGAATCGATCATTTATCACAACCCGATCCAATTTCATAAATGATTGGGTCAACATTTATTTATTTATTTATTTATTTTGCTCTGTGAAAAGAAAAAGTAAACAAATATGGGCCAATTTTTTCTGGTAAACAAACTCGGGTTGAAAGAATTGTAAATCAAAGATCGTAAGGCGCAAATTTTCAGGTCGGATTAGAGTCAAATAATATCAAACCCAAAAATTCAACCCGAATTTATACAACTGGAAAAATTACATTCTCATTGATTTGTCATTTATAACTTAAAAAAGACATAAAAACAATTATCATAGACTCAGAGTGCAAATCAGCTAAAATATTGCCCCAAATAATGATTTAAAAAATCAAAATATAAAGTTCTAATAATGCAGGTTTTCTATGATTTTCTTAGCAACCAAACAAAGCACATTGAGAGATCTGATAATACCCAAAGTGATGCGAACGGTGTAAACGGAGCAGTGAAGTAAACACAGCAAATTGTATGGATTTGTCATAATCCAATGCACACACACACACACACACACACACACACATATACTGTGTTGATCGTCCAGTCATTTGGGTTCCCTACAGGAAATTCATTTACTGTTGATTCTACTTGGCAGATCCTTCCTCCCAGGGGTATCAAACTGGACTCATCCTCAATGATCTGGTTCAAAGGAGCTATATACATATACATATACAGATACATATGCAAATATGTAAATACAAACATCTTCTGAGGCCCATCTTTGAAGGCCGATCATCACCGAGAGAGAGTGCGCGTGTGTGATGTAGGGTGAGAAAGAGTGCCTAGAGAAAGAAAGCGACGGATAGATCTTTTCTGGATATAGAGCGAGAGCCGCCACTTAGAGAGCTGGGAGCCTGGGATAGAAGAAGAATTAGGGAATTTTTTTTTTGGTTGGGTGATATTGGTCAATTGAATATGGGTAATATGGGTACCCATATTCAACCCGTTTTCAACCCGCTAAATGTAAGGGTCATTTGAGTCTGACCCATTTTTGAGCCGAAATATAAAATGGTTCGCCTTAGTTAATGGGCAGTCTAGGCGGGTTGATGGGTTGCCAGCCCTATTATGAATGATAACTTCATAGGATTTTCCCAAAAGCCCTTAATTATACTAGAAGATACTAAATGTATTCAAGTAATACAGTCAAAATACCAGTGTCTCTGTGATTGCTTCCAGCATGCCCAAACCATTAATTTTACTGTAGGTCCTGCTGAGTGAGTGTCTGTATGCATTAGGCTCCATTGGCCATAAATCCCCTTAAGCCACGCTACCTGGCTTTTCCTATGATTACAACATGTCACCTCCTGCTTGTTGCAAATGACAAGTCTCGAGAGATGTAGAGAAATTCCATGTAGGTCTACCCCCTTGAGATCAATGAGTGATATCATGCAAAATCAAGAAATAACTTTGCTTTTGTCATGGACCATATCACAGGGGGCAGCACTGATATCACCTCCAATCTCTCTAAAGCCACCCCGGCACTTATCTCGGGGCACCCTGGGATGCATCCGCACCATTGGCATTGGATAAAGTATATACTTGGACTATTTTGTGCAAGAACCGCAAACAAAAAAGAGTGCTTTCTTGAAAGGATTAGACTTGGAGCTATTGGAAAAATTCCTCGAGGAAGAACAAATTCTTTCTTTGACCTTCCCAAGAAGCTGCTTCTAATTCAGAGGGCTTATACAGAAGGCAGATTTAGTAGTTGGATATTATATTTATCAAAGAGTGGGCCAATCATGAATGATTTGCTACGAGATTGTGAAAATGTAATTTATTCCTAAATAATATGAATGATGAAGAGATGAAAAAAAACCCATTTATTTCTTATTTGAAATGTTCCTGTGGCATCTAGTAAGAGTGAAATCAACTGAGTATAACCTTCCGGGAAAAAGAAAAAAAAAAAAAAAAAATCAACTGAGTATTCAATTTTTTGTCTGGAAAGGATCTAAGATTTACATGCATACATAGGGAAAGTACTGTGCACTGACAAAGCATGCATGGTTTGGGAGGGGTTTTAAGTTTTAACAAGGAAATTATCTACTCCATCCGACTAATCCGATTCGAATATTACCTCAGCTTTAAATCATACAAAATGTCTTTCTTTTTTTTTTTTTTTTGATAAGTAAAAATATATTAGAAAAACGTTCAAAAGGGGAACGCATCCCTAATACAAGAGAAAAGATCTAAGGACCAATAGAATCCAAGAGATCAAAGAAATCATCAATCGAGGAGCATGTACTTCCTCTAACATAAAAGAATAAAGAACGAAGAATATGAATTTTTAAATTAGCTAAGGACGATTCTTTTCCTTCAAAGGATCTGTTATTTCTCTCACGCCACAAACACCACCAGACACAATGAGAAACAATCTTCCAATAAGCACGAGCTTGTTTCTTAACAGGACAGCTTTTCCAAGCGTTAATCAACTGAGAGGAGTGCTTAGGCATTACCCAAAAAATGCCGAAAATGCTGAAAATAAAACTCCAACAACCAAACGCCACAGGACAATGCAAAAGAATATGATTCACGGATTCACTATCATCTTTGCATAAACAACACCAATTAACAATGATGTTGCCTCTCTTTCTCAAATTGTCCAAAGTCAAAATCTTCCCCAATGTAGCTGTCCAAGCGAAGAACGCGATTCGAAGAGGGGCTTTAGAGCACCACACGGACTTCCAAGGAAACTCGGAACCAACGAAATTGGATAAATGAATAAACATAGAGCGGACATCATACCGACCATGAGCCAAAGGAACCCACAAAATATCATCACACCCTCTGTCAATATCCTTCTGCCTATACAAAATATCCAAAAAAGCAGAAACTTCCTCCATTTCCCAATCCTGAAAAGACCGCCTAAACCGCACATCCCACGTAACTCCATTGTTATCAAGATGATAACAATCAATCACGAAAACATGCTTATTAGTTGCAATGCTATAAAGCCTAGGAAATGAGTGTGAAAGCAACTGGTCGCCACACCAAAGATCCTCCCAAAAACGAACATGCCTGCCATTACGAACTTTGAATCTAATACAGCTTCACATAAAAATCTGCCTTAAATAATACAAAATGTCTTTCTTGACATAGCTCCACATAAAAACTCTAGAAGAGTATACTACCGTTCATGTTTGATCCACACTAGACACCTCTTCATTATTAAAAATGGGACTACAAAGATGATATTTTTATTCTGATTCACCAAGCCCCAAAACAATGTAAATTGCCACAGGAAGCATCAGGTCTAAGGTTTGAATCCTCTAGGATGCAAACAATTCCTTGAGAGAGGAGGAGAGGGGGTATCAACTAGGGGGAAAAAAAATCTAAAGGTCATCAAGATATTTGGAGAAATATTTTTGACTTCGGTTGCTCCTAACAATGCAGAAACTATCAGCAATCTCAATTGTAATTTCAACACAGCAATAAATGTATAAATGCACCATATGACTTAAGCATAAAATACAGAATAAAAACTAACCAAAAAAAAAAGTAAAGCAAAACAATAATGCATTAAAATTTAGTCAAGATACAAACTAAAGCACCTTGAAGTTCAATCCTTGGAAGCCAGGAATCCCTTGTAAGATCAATAGCTACAGCTTCATTCTTCTTGTCATCAGTTGACCAACCAAATAATGAAAGTTGCTGACCAGTATTCTTCCTGTTGGCAGCAACTGCAAGCTCACTGTAATGAAATAACCAAAAAAAATCAGCTAGCTCTCAACAATCTGTGCAAGATTGGATGAAGTACATAATTATATAGAACACTCGTCGGTAGAAATCATATATGTGTGAACATCCCCAAACTGTGTAACGCGTTTTGAGAAAAATCGTAAGCACTAAGAGGAGTGCAAAGCAGACAATATCTACATACTTATCAAACAAAAAAATATATATATATCTACATGGTGTGGGCGGGTTGTGACAAATATGGAATAAGCAAAATGGTATACATTGTAATGACTTGCATGGAGATCCAAAGGTGGTTGCACACACTATCGTTTGAGAGATTCTTGATATTATTGTTCTTACTAATGAAGACATTCTTGTGCCAGCAATATGAAGAATGCCAGCGGAATATACAAGACGATTGAAGTGTATTGCCTTGTAAACTGAATACCGAATTGAGCTATTCATCTTACCTCTGTTTTATTTCGGGTGCTTCAATTTTTTTTATCTAATTCGAAGTGGGTTTATAACCTATATCGTAACCTAAAGAGGATATGCTCTCTTTTATTCTTTGGCATGTAACTCAATCTATTTAATAGAAATAAGATACACCCACGTAAAGGAGGAAAAACCCTCAAATATATTTGTTAAAAATGGAATTAAGCGTTAAAAGTACAATAACTTGTCAATCATGGAATTAAGTATTATAAGTACACAAACTTGAATTATGAAATTAATAGCGTGCTTACCATTGATTTAAATAGCTCAAGAACATGTACGGTCCACTTCTGAAGGGCACAATATCATCAATTAAACCTTCAAAGACATCATCAAAGTATAGCACGACTGGCCTGGAAGATGCCTGCAAAATGGAATTCACAAAATCAATACCAAAAATCTATTAAATAATTAAAAATCATAGAAATCATTAATATTATGATGTTGGTGGTGGTTTTGTTATTTTTTTTTGTTGCTGTCGTTGTTCTTGCTTTTGCAGCTACTTCATTTTAGAATTTAGATAGACTATATTATTACCATTTACAGCTACAAAGTATTTGCCGAAGAGTACATCCATCTATCTTGGTATAAGGCCCTTCCCAAGGCATTGCAATAACAACGATATCACTAGAAAGGCAATGTAAAAACATCTCTAGGATTGCAAATATATTGAAAAAAAAAAAAAAAGAGTTTGCAGAGGAGGGGGCATCCAGTGAAGAAATTTCAACCACCAAAATCCTCATTAGCCTCCTTACTGCTTGCTAGCAATTCTTTTGGAAAATCCAATCTGACCAACCATAAAGGCCCTCACCCAAACATTGTGAAAGGACCAGAGGAGTACAAAAACAAGCAAGCAAAAGGGAGATAGAACGGAACTAAGACAAGTAGCAGGATGAAGGGAATAGTGGAAGTTTTGTCGTAAAGACCAAAACTTTGAAAGGGTAAAAATGTTAATAGTGACACGTTTGTATATATGGTACTTAAGGGTCATGAAATTAAATTCTGAGTTCTGTGGTGAGAATATTCAAAGCAAAGGAGTTCTCATGCCCAGATTTTCAATATAAAGAGAAGAAATATATCAAAACGTGTGGTTTAACTCTAGTCAGGTAAGTAGCAAAATGAAAGAAGATTCACATAACCAATTTTCAGAAAAATGAAACAAGGTTTGTGTTACGACAAACGCCGCGAACCAGGAACAAATCAAGAATCGAGCAGAAAAGGAAACATGCCACACACAAAGAACACAAAGATTTACGTGGTTTGGCGTAAGCCTACGTCCATGGTGAAGATCCGGCGAAATAATTCATTCAAAATAAGGAGATTACAAGTTTCCGCCCCCAAATACTATCTCTCTTTCTCACTCTCATTCCCACAATTTTCATTGTTCTCTCTTTTCATTGTTGTTCACTGAACCAGTTGGTTGGAGATCCTTGCTAGCAGGGCTTCATTTTGACTCTATTTCGAGTGAGGAGTGTTCTTTACTGGAGGAGCCTTTCTCTGAAGAGGAAGTTTTGTCTGCTTTGAAGAGTTGTAACAGGGATAAAGCCCCAGGTCCTGATGGTTTTTCCAAGAGATTCCTTTTGGAGTGCTAGGAGGTGGTCCGAGAGGAAGTGATGGGCTCTTTTCACGCTTTCCATGCTCATGGCTCTTTTGAGAAGAGTTTGAATGCCACTTTCATTGCCCTCATTCCGAAAAAGGGAGGGGCAATAGATGTTAGGGATTTTTGTCCTATTAGCTTGGTGGGATGTCTTTACAAGTTGATTGCTAAAGTCATGGCCTCTAGGTTGAGGAAGGTTCTGGATGGCGTCATCTCTGACTCTCAAAATGCATTTGTGGGAGTTCATCAGATTTTGGATTCTGTTCTTATTGCAAGTGAATGTTTGGACTCTAGGTTGAGCAGTGGGGTTCCGGGTGTTTTGTGCGAGCTGGACATTAAGAAGGCTTACGACCATGGGAGTTAAGAGTTTCCTCCTCTACTTGATGGAGAGGATGGGGTTCGGGGGGCGATGGAGGAGACAGATTCTTTTTTGTATCTCTAGTGTTCGTTTCTCTGTCCTTGTGAATAGAGCTCTGACGGGGTTTTTCTCTAGTTCGAGGGGCTTGAGATAGGGGGATCTGCTTTCTACTTTCCTTTTTCTTTTTATGATGGAGGCGCTTAGCAGATTGTTGCAAAGGGCTATTGAGCTGGGTTTTTTTAGAGGCTTTTGGGTGGGCAGGGATGTTGCAAGTCAGTTGGAAATTTCTCACTTGATGTTTGCGGATGATACTTTAGTTCTTTGTGATGCTGATACGTCCCAGCTAAGACATTTGAGATGCGTTTTGGTTTGGTTCCAAGTTGTCTCTGGGCTTAAGGTGAATGTCAGAAAGAGTGTTTTAGTGCCGGTTGGGGATGTTCCTGAAATCGAGATGTTTGCTCAAATCCTTGGATGTCGCACTGGCTCTTTTCCCATTTCTTACTTAGGCTTACCTCTGTGAGCCCCTTCGAGATGTGTAGGAGTTGGGATCCAAAGGTGGATAGATTTGAGAAGAGGCTGGCGGATTGGAAGAAGCAGTATCTCTCCAAGGGGGGGCGGATCACTCTGATTAAGAGCACCCTTTCTTGCCTACCCACATATTTCATCTCCCTTTTTCAAATTCCTTCTTCTGTGGCTGAAAGAATTGAAAGATTGCAGTGTAATTTTCTTTTCTTTTTTTTTGGGGGGGAAGGGGGGGGCAAGTATCATCTGGTTCGTTGAGAGCAAGTGTGCTGTCCTTTTCAGAGTGGAGGTTTAGGGATTAGAAAGTTGTTGCCTTTCAATGGGGCTCTTCTTGGGAAATGGCTTTGGAGATTTGGGGTTGAGAGGCATTGTCTTTGGAGGAGAGTTATTGCTAGCAAATTTGGGGAGAGCAGTGGAGGATGGAGTTCTCTTGAGGTGCGTGGTCCTAGGGGGGTGGGGGTTTGGACTTGCATTCGAAAGGGGTGGGACGCTTTTTGCAAACATGTTCATTTTCGGATCAGGGATGGTACGAAGATCAGATTTTGGGAGGACTTTTGGTGTAGGGAGCTTCCCCTTGCTCTTTCATTCCCATGCCTTTACAGGATTGCTTCTGATAGGCAAGCCTTGGTGGTTTACTATTATCATCTTGATAACGGAAGACTAACTTGGGATGTTCAGTTTATGAGGCATTTTCAGGATTGGGGAGATTGAGGAGGTCACTTGTTTTTTGGAGTTACTTTATCGCCAGGTGATTTCTCATGGGGAGTCTGTTTGTTGGCTTTGGAGTCCTCACTCTCAGGGTTAGTTCGAGGTGAGGTCCTTTTTTAGGTGTCTTACCATTGGTGATGGAGGTCCTTTCCCTTAGAAGGCTATTTGGCGCTCCAAGGCTCCCCTTAAGGTGGCCTTCTTTGCTTGGACTTCTGTCTTGGGTAGGATTTTAACCCAGGATAATTTGAGGAAGAGGAATTAGGTGGTTGTCAATCGCTATTACTTGTGCCTGCGCGATGAGGAGACAGTTGATCAACTTCTGTTGCATTGTAGCATGGCTAGAGACTGTTGGGATTTGATGATTGGGATATTTGGGTCCCTTGGGTTATGCCCTGTTCCTCTAGAGGGTTGATTGAGGTTTGGAGAGGTTTCTCAATTGGAGCTCTCATTCAGAATGCTTGGAGGGCTATGCCTCCCTGTATTTGGTGGTGCAATTGGCTCAAAAGGAATCGGAGATATTTTGATGGAAAGGAGAAGCTGACTTCTGTGCTTAAGTTCTCCATTATTTTCACTCTTTTTTGTTGGGTCTCAGGGAGGGACTATCGATCTGTTGAGGAGATTGTTTTTTTTATTTTTTTGGCCTCTTTGAAGGCTTGAGGCGTTTGTGGCCTTTCGTTTCTTTGGGATTCGCTCCCCTTTTGAGCGCTTTTTATAAAAAATCTTATTTATCAAAAAAAAATAATTTGAGCCACAACATCAAAGTTTTTAAGTCTATAAACAACCTACTAAAAAATTATACTTCCAAGACCAATTCCTATAAATAAGAAAGACAGTTTTGTTGAGTCAGTTAAGTTGCTCAAGTCTATAAACAAGCCTATTACAAAATTCTGCTTCCAAAACCAATCCCTATAAATGGGAAAGATGGGCTGAGAGGTTGAAAGTAAGACAGACTAAGAGGATATCTTCTAATATGACACATTTCATCCTTTTTATTGGAAATATATTGAAGTTACCTTACTAGGTTTTCTAAATACAATAAAGTGGTTTCAATGCTACTAGTCAGACTAAGTCCTAAGTTTTTTGGAAAAGCTACTTTTCTCAAGGAATATTTAAGAAATTATTTGTGATGTCCGACATCGCCTAGGAGGAGACATTGCTAACACTTATAAGGGAGGATGCCTCCTACCTGTGAGGACACATTCTGAAAAACCGTGAGCGCCAAAAGGGTGCAAAAGAGACTGTATCTGCACGGTGTGAGGTGGGTTCTGATAGATGGTATCAAAGTCGATCTCCATCAGAAAATGGGAGGAGTGTGCGCAAGTCCATGAGGGTCAGGCCAGCGAGGATGCTGGGTCCCAAGAGGCGGTGATTCTGACGTCCCACATCACCCCCCCAGTGTGTGTGTGTGGAAGAAATTGAGATTTATATGTGTGGACATCCCCTAACACTAGTAACAAATGAACACACTCCACAACAAAAGTGTTGTTTCTGTTTCAGATGGAAACAGAAAAGCAAAAAATATATATATATATGCCATTGCCAAACGAGCCCTAAGTCTTTTAATTCGTTCTTTTTTGTTACCACACCAAAAACTAGACTTCAGAACCTTCACCATAATGACACTCAGTTTCTGATTTAATGCACGTGTTCTTTTTCTTTTTCTTTTCTTAAAAGCCTTCATTTTAGATAATAGTTTCATTGAAGTGTAACTCTGCAGGTTGTTATTAAAAGCACAACACCACTCCAACAAATGAATTGACAAGATTTCTTGCTATACAACTATAACATTAGCATTAAAAAAATATAAAAAATAAAAAAACGTTCGTATGCAGAGATAGCAAGAATTTTGTGAATCAAAAAGGCACCAACAGAATAGCAGATTTCAAACTAAATCCTCGTCAAGGTAAATATGTTTGCATGCAGGGATATGTACTGACATCAGTAAGTTTGCCATCTTTGCATGTGATGACTTGGACCAGGTAATTTTCCTCCTCGCCATCACTTGTAAGTTGAAAGCATCCTAGAATGACACAATCTGAACGAATCCACCTGATAGAATCCACTGACACAACAAACAATTTAGCTTAAGGAGATAGAAATGCAGAACATTTTGACAGAACAGATTAGTAGCTTTAATCAATAAAAGAAGGGTGAATTGCATAAAAAATAAAAAATAAAAAAAAACCTTGACTTGTAGCGTTTTGCTGTAAACCCCCCCCCCCCCCCCCCCCCCCCCAAATTTTTTTTTTGCAAAAATACCCCTCCAACTAACCAAGGGGGGTTACTTTTACAAAATTACCCACACCAAGTTAAGGGGGGTTTTATGCAATTCGACCAATAATATATAATATAATATAATATTACTATATTACAAGGGAGAGGGGTTACACATTATATTATATAGATATATTATAGTATTTCTATTATATTTATATATAATTGAGCGAATTACATAACCACCCCCACCCCCCGGCGCGACTTGGTAGGGGTTTTTTAGGCAAAAAATATATATATATATTTAAAGGGGTGCTTACTGCAAAACGCTACAAATCATAGGTATTTGCAAATACACCATAGGTATATGCAACTAGAAGACATGTAAATACTTTGTGTGGGCATAGACTCCTTCCACCAAAATCGCATAAAGGGTTGGATCAGAAGACCAATCAACCACAACACCAGAACTTTCAATATGGATCTTAAAGGAAGTGCATATTTCAAAAACAGAATGAAGTGACGTTTTATTTTAAGAACTCAAGTCATTGGTGTCTACTGTCTAACCAGGATAGAAAACAAAAACAAGGTAGATCTGACTAAGGATACTATAGTACTTAGATAAGCAAGCATTAAAATACATAACAGGTGAAATACCTTTTATGATGCAGTTCGAATCAGAGTCACCAATCCATGATTTGAACGATAGTGACATGCTCAACCTTTGCTTGAATTTTGAAGACAGAATGCTAAGAATATTCTTTCTTGCCACAGCAATAAAGTTGCCTTTTACACTCCAATCAACTGTGCAAACAAATCAACATAAAAGAGAATCACTGTAATTCCACTTTACTATCAAAATTATATTCATACGACATCAACAAAGCAATTTGATACAGACTAGATTTCAAACAAAGCTAGTAGAAGTTATAATGAGAACTAAGACAATCAGCCATATAAAATAAGCCTTTCAAACAATAATAGGAGCAAATTCAAAATGCCTATGCAAGCAAAATATCTGGAATAACTTCCTCAATTCATATACTTGACTGGAAAAAGGTGAAAAAATATCAAGGAAAAATCACATTAAGAAATGCCAAAATGGTGTCGTTCCTGTAATGATCAAATTTTTAATATTGTAACCCATGTTTAAATTAAAGGGTAGAATTGTAAAAGGCCTTAATAAAAAATAATAAGAATAGAATAGGGACCTATACAAGAATATAAAATAACAATATATTATACCTGTAGTGTAGCCAAACATATGGAATATGGTTTTTGTATAAAAACGTAGCCTTCACAAAATATTAGGGTTTTATCAACATACATTGTCAGCACATTTAAGAGGAAGGAATAGGAACTAAGAGCAAGCTATAGAGATCATCAACCCCAAATCTAAAAAATCATAGTTATTTGATAATACCCTTTTTATAATTTATAATCATGAAATATTATGTTACGCACCTTGGCAAATTTATTCATGTACATGTGTAATAAATTGTACAAAGGTCATAAATATGTTACTCTTAATAAAACCAGTTTACTTTAGAAAAAGTACCATATCGTCCAAGCTTAAGAGAGTTTCATTTATATGTGTTTTCATAGAAGTCATAAAAGAATGGGTGTTACGTCATTAAAGGATTCTTGCTTGAGGACCTTTAGGTCTAAACTGCTCCTTGATATCACGTATAAATAAAATTTCTAAGAACCAAAAATATATATATCAACAAAGAATCATAAACCAAGAAATCAACTGGTAATTGTACCATTGTCACTTTCCATCTATTAATCCCAAAAAAAAAATGTCATTTCCAAAAGAAGAAGTTTAAGGTTTTGGCTTCCTCAAACCGAGAGCCAAGAGCTATATTTATATACAAGAATAGGGTACAAAGAAAGAAAACCAAATCAAAGAAAAACAAGAAATATGCCAAAATCTACGTGATCCCATGATTACGGGGATCTTATCTACGTGGTCCCGTGATTATAGGAATCTTATATAAAACACCTAATAAAAAGCTAAAAATAGCAAATAAAAATAAATAATAATAATAATAAAGATATTTCAACACTCCCCCTCAAGCTGGAGTGAAGATATCAATCAAGCCCATCTTGGTAATCGAGGAATGAAGCAAAGATGGACCAACAAATTTGGTGAACGCATTGGCTGACTGATTAGAGGACCGAACAAAGCATGGCTTTATAATTCCCGAACGAACCTAAAATGAATGTCCACCTTTATATGTTTAGTCCTCTCATGAAGAACAGAATCTGAAGCAAGCATAATGGCTGACTTATTATCACAAAACAAGTCTGAGGACTGTTTTTCATTTTGCCCTAGCTCCTCCAAGAAAGATCGAAGCCAGAGAATCTCACAAGTACCCTGAGCCATGGCAAGAGACCCAACCTTTGCTGAAGATCTCGAAACTACAGGTTGCTTCTTACTTTTCTAGGATATAAGATGGTCTCCATAGAAAGTACAGAAGCCAGATGTGGAACGCCTGTCAGTCTTGGACCCAGCATAGTCCGTATCACTAAAACATGATAACCCAACCTACCTGCTAGAAGAATAGAATAATTCAAGTCCAGGACAGGACTTAAGATATCGAAGAATATGATATACCGCATCCATATGAGTTGTATGAGGTGCATGCATAAACTAGCTCACAACACTAACCGCAAAAGCCAAATCAAGACGGGTGTTGGTAAGATAAATCAATCTTCCTACCAAGCACTGATATTGCGAGGGATCAGAAAGGAGATCTCTAGACTCAACCGAGATCTTCAGATTAGGATCCATAGGAGTGGAAGCAGGTTTACACCCAAGCATACCCGTGCCTCGAAGAAGATCCAAGACATTCTTCCTTTGCGATAAAGAGTTACCCTCCTTAGATTTAGCAACCTCAATTCCCAAGAAATATCAGAGCTGCCCAAGGTCTTTCACATCAAAAGCTTTAGCCAATTGAAGCTTTACTTGAGCAATCTCAAGGATGTCATTGCCAGTAATGATGATATCATCAACATAGACAAGAAGAATGATACATCATCCGGTGGAGGAATGGTGGATAAAACATATGTGGCCAGAATGGCATCTAACAAACTCCATGGATAGAATTACATCACTGAAGCGGCTGAACCAAGCTCTGGGAGATTGTTTTAACCCATACAAAGACTTCTGTAATCGACAAACCTTTCTAACATACTCCCCCTCAGCCCGAAAACAAGGTGGAGGATCCATGTAAATAGTCTCAAGAAGATCACCGTTAAGGAAAGCATTCCTCACATCAAGCTGATGAAGAGGCCAGTTGTGAGAGGCAACCAGGGAGACACGCAAACGAATTAAGGTCAATTTAGCCACCGAAACGAAGGCATCATTAAAATCTTTACCAGAAATCTGAGTAAATCCATTGGCTACCAAACGGGCCTTATACTGATTAATAGAATCATCAGCCAGATATTTAACATTGAATACCCATTTGAAACCAACAGTCTTTTCACCATAAGGGAAACATACAAGCTTCCATGTTTCATTATGTTGCAAAACATCCATTTCTACCTTCATAGCAGACTTCAAATTAGGATTCCGGCCTCAGACACATTTCTAGGAATGGAAATGGAATCAAGTTTACCTAGAAATGCTCGATAAGACCCTGAAAGACAATCATAAGAGATATAATGCAAAACAGGATGATCGGTACTACAAGCGAATCCAAATCACACAGGGGGTTTGCGGTCCCGAGTGGGATACCGTGACTCAGTAACAGGGTCAGGGAAATGTAAAAGAGAGAGAGGAGATGTACCTCAAGCTGTATCTGAAGAGGATGAAGGCAGTGGAGGTAGAGCACGAGGGCGGCGAGAATAGACCTGCAAAGGGGGTGAGGAAACCACAAAAGAAGACTCTTCTTGAAAAATATGAAGAGGACGAGCAAGAGGAGAAGCCTCTTGATTGGAGGTAGAAGTTTCCTGCAAGATAGTGTTAGAACCAGTGTTCTTAAAGGCGCGCCTGGGCTCGAGGCTCAGGTCTAGCACCTGTTGTCATCCCAGACTCACTTATGTTTACTAGGCGCGTGCCTCGGCTGCGCCTCGTCCCGTTTGTCAAGCGAGCCTCGCTGATTTTTATAAAAAACTATGATTATTCTATTTCTTAGCCAAAAATGGTACTTTTGGCAACTTAATAAACAAATAAGCAAGCCTAAGCGTTCAAGAGAAAAAACTTTTATTCAAAAGAATAAACAAATAAGAAAGCCCAAGAGTCAAAGCGTCAACCAAACAGAGAAAGAGTGAAACGTGAGACGAACGACGAAGCCCTAATTGCAGAGATGAATGACGAAGCCACGTCAGTTCTTCCTTCTTCTTATCTCTCTTCTCCTCTACTTCTCTCTTCTCCTCTACTCCTCTCTTCTCCTCTACTCCTCTCTTCTTATCTTTGTTTACATCTCTATCTTCGTCTAGTTCTCTTCTCTGTCTTTTTTTTAGTGGGGCTCGGTTTTTTCTCCTTTTTTTCTTTAACACTTTCTCTCTCTTCTCGTCTACTTATCTCTCTTCATCTACTTCTTCTGTCTCTGTGTCTTTTTTTTTTACTCTATATTTTCTTTTCTTTTCTTGTTAGCAGTTTTTTTTTTAACAAATTTATTTCTTTTTGTGCTATATTTTGCCATTCAAAAAAACAAATTATGCTTTGCCTTTCAAGAAAACAAATTTATGCTCTGTTTTATGGTTGTTGGATGATTGTTTAGTTGATGTATTTACATTTTTATATTTGATATTAATTTTTAGAATATTGATATGACTTACGAGATATGAATGTTTATTTTAAATTTTTAATTGTGCACCTCACTTCACTCAGGCGCGCGCCTCACGCCTAGGCTCCAAAGGACCTCTAGCGCCTTAGGCCTTTAATAACACTGGTTGGAACCATAAAAAGGGGTATACTCATGAAATGTGACATCAAAAGAGTGATACATTTGTTTGTGTACAGGATCATAACACCGGTAACCTTTTAACATAGAAGAGTATCCTAAAAAGATACTTTTAATGGCCTTGTCATCAAGTTTAGTACGAGAAGAGCGACGATTCTGAACAAAACGTGTACATCCAAACAACCAAGGCATGATGGAAAAAAGAGTAATATAATGCTGAAGCACTTGTAAGGGGCCTTACCATTCTACTAGGGGTACGATTAATGAGAAAAGTAGTTGTAAGAACCGCCATATGCCAATATAACTTTGGCACATTCATACCACTTAAAAGACATCGAACAACTGACATTAGTTGGCGGTTTTTACGCTCTGCCGCACCATTCTATTCAAGGCTATACGGACAAGTAAGCTAATGAAGAATACCCTGTTGGTTAAGTTAAGACCGAAACTTATTGGAAACATATTCACGACCATTGTCAGACCTAATATTCCTAACAACAGTTCTACATTGAGTTTTGATCATTTGGAGGAATTGAGTGAACAAGGGAAAAACTTAAGATTTCTTTTTAAGTAAATATACCAATGTGCAACGGGAATAATCATAAATGAATGTGACATAATAACGTTGCACCGAAAAAACAGTAATAGGAGAAGGACCCCACACATCATAATGTATGAGATCAAACATACTAGGTGCACAATGCATATGAGAAATATAATTGGTTCTAGTATGTTTAAAAAACTCATAAATCTCACATTGAAACTTATTATTAGGGGTGCACACGGTTCGGTTCCTTACGGTTCCGATCGGAACCAGAACCGTTCACAACGGTTCCTTGAAAACGAAACCAGAACCGTATAGTATGGAACCGAACCGGTTCGGTTCCGGTTCGGTTCCATGAGAACCATTTGTTTGGTTTTTTTCCTTGTTTGATAGTCGGGCTTGGTATAGTTTTTTTTTTTTTTTTCAAATCCAAAAAAGTGAGAAATTCAACTCAACAAAACCAAATAGTAGTATCAATCATGAAGGTTTCAGGCACCATACAATGAAAAAAAATAAACCATCAAGTAAGGAATCTAATTTTTATACGTGTTCCTATAAATCTTGCTAACAATCAAATGGATCAGAAAAGAAAACCTAAAGCCATGAACAGATGCATAGTAGGCAAGAATATATGAGCCCTAGATCTGAAAGACGAGAGAGAGAGCAACAAAGGTGAGAGGGCTGACCTCTGATTTGATCCAGAAATTGGGAAGAGACAGAAAATGTGTAGGGGAGTTGGGAGGTGGACCAGCTGGAATCGGATGATGGCAAATTAGAGCCGTTGATTGGATTTCTGTTGACGAAGGCCGATGATGTCTAGGTGGACCTCCATGAGAGACTGAGAGAGAGGTTAACCTCCTACCCGCAACTCTCAGCATCGTCTTCTACCTTTTGCTTGCTCAGATAGCTTGATTAGGGTCTGCTCTTTCAAAGTGAAGAGCCAAAGGAGAGAGAGAGAGAGAATCTTAGAGATTGAGAGGAGGCGAGGACTAAGACTGAGAAAGTGAAAGATCTGAGAGAGAGGGCAAGTTCAGAGTCGAGAGAATAGAGATGGAGGCGATTGGGGGAGGCTACGGCTGAAATGATTTGCCCTAAAAATTAAAAAAATATAATCAAATATAATATATATATATATATATATATATATATATATATATATATATATATTACGGTTCCGGTTCCGGTTCTAGAACCAAACCGTGAGACCGGAACCGGAACCGAACAGAAACTCAACGGTTCCTCATTTTAGGAACCGGAACCGTGAGAACCGGAATTTCAGTTCCGGTTCCGGTTCCGGTTCTTCTTTTGTGCACCCCTATTTATTATCCTTACATGCTGTTATTAATGAAGGGAAAAACAAACATAAATACTAAAAGTTTACATGCCCAAGGCGAGTATGCCATAAATTTAAAGTCTGAAAAGAAAAATCACAAGACCTAGAAACTGGAAGAACAAGTGAAGGAGGTGTCGGTAGAGGATCCCTAAAGTAGTAGAGGCCATTGTGCTCATATCCCCTGCCAAAAATCCTCTTCGAACACAGGTTCTGTAAAACACAATAATGAGGAAAGAAAATCACTGCACAATTTAGTGATTTGGCAAGTTTACTAACAGATAGAAGGTTAAATGCAAAGTTAGGAACATGAAGAACAGATGGCAAAATAATATCAGGGATATATGAACATCTCCTTTACTGGAGTCTCTGGTAAAGCCACTGGCTGAGAGAATTGACGTCTATGTTCCTCATGGTCAACAGTAGCGAAAGCATCATATAAATCAGGCATAGGAGAGGTGTTTATGATCTGAGTTCTAAGAGAATCATACTCAGATCGTAAACCCATAAAAAATTGGTAGGTATGCTGGTGGTCCAGTCTCTTGACCAAAAGAGTTACAGCAGAGAATTCGGAGAGAGGTTCATACTGTGCTAACTCTTCCCACCTAGACTGGAGGTACCCAAAATACTCTGATACTGATAGCTTAAGTGTCTCCTGAGATGTATGAGCAATCTCCTAATAAAGTTCAAAGATATGAATGTCATTACAAGAGTGGGCATACATTTTGTTAAGGGCTTGCCATAGACGAAAAACAAAAGCGTGAAACATGAACATATTATAGATACGCTTCTCCATTGAGTTGAAGATCCAATCCAGAATGGTGCATCTGTCCATGTCCCATGCAATATATTTAGTATCCGTCTTTTCCGATTCTTGACTAAACCCAAAAACCAACCAATTTTCCCTTTCCCTCCAATATAGAGTTGAAGAGAACGGGACCAAGATACGAAGTTGCGCTCATTTAAGAGCACACTAGTAACCCGTTGCGCCGGAGTATGATATGCCAGAGATAAAGCGTCCTTTTGGTACTAGAATCACTCATAGTACCAAAATAAGGTTGGCCCACACATCAAAGAGGGAGGAAAGAGAAAAACAAGGCCGGAAAAGTCGGCGCTTTCCTCCAAATATGCTGCCGAACAAACACCGGCAGCCCACAAAGGAAAAAAAAAAAAAAAAAACACCTGAATGACCCTTAGGTCATAAACCACCTAAGGGAATTCTCTTAAAAAGGAGTCAAAAACAGAGAAAGCCCCTGTTAGGGTTGCCGCACCAAGAGAAAGAGAGACAGAGGGGTCCGGCGCAAGGGCTGGGAGGAGATGGAGGTGCATCGGAGGTGAAGGAAAGAGGAGAGAGGGAGGGAGAAGGTGGCAGTGTTGGGGATGGAAGATGAGGGGCGAAGGTTTTTTGTTTTTGCTCTAATACCAAAAAGAAGAAGTTTTGGGTTTTGGCTTCCTCAAACTGAGAGTCATGAACTATATTTATATACAAGAATAGGATACAAAGAGAGAAAACCAAATCAAAGAAAAACAAGAAATATGCCAAAAATCTACGTGATCCAATGATTATAGGAATCTTATCTACGTGATCCCACGATTATTTGGATCTTATATTAAACACCTAATAAAAGGCTAAAAATAGCTAATAAAAATAATAATAATAATACTAAAGATATTTCAACATTTCCCGTAAGCACAAGTTATATATTCTAATAAAAACATCATTGTTAGTCATTTCACCATGGCAATAACAAGAATACAAGATTAGTATATTGCAACAATCTGCATCAATTGTTGTTGAAATATATAAATATTTCTATATAATTGTGGAGCAAAATCCTCCACCAATCACGGTGATCCGGTCAATTTCCTTCTAACTATAAATATTTCTATATAATGGTGGAGCAAAATCCTCCACCAATCATGGTGCCTCCTTTGATTATTGTATACCTTCCATATATTCTTAACTTTACCATGCCTATATAGGCTCTTGTACTCAAGCAATATTCAAATCTGAATAATAGAAATGTAGCCCTTAGTGGCTCTTCGTTCATGGATGTAGGCCTTAGTGCCGAACCATGTATATGCATGTGTTCTCCATATTTCTCAATTCCCTTTTCCTATTTGCATTTCTTATTTCCGCATCCAAATTTAATAATTGCTACTAGTGTAGTTCTCCTTTTGCAGTGAATTATCTTAGTTACATCAAGTTTAAAAGGAAATCTCACCACTATTATTAATAGAAAAGTGTGCCTATACAAAAAAAAAATAGGTAAATTATAAATCCATAGTCTTCGTATCTTACCAAAAACAATGGCCCATATACAATCTTCCAAATATATGTTTTGTTGGGGTCAAGGGAGAGACTACTCCTCTCTTGAGGATATTGTTGATTTTATGAGCTCTTTGAGTTCATAGGCTCCGTTTTGTCTTTGTATAGTTTGGGACGCGTTCCCCTTTTGAACGCTTTTAATACAATTTACTTATCAAAAAAAAAAAAAAAATCTTCCAAATATAGCAAAACCAAAGTTGTTAGGATCGGGATTCTACGTAGGATCGGTGAGGGGTCCATAGGATCGGAACGAGATTCGTAAAACTATTAGAAAAGTAACTCAAACTAACTTTCTAAATCAAATATTTCCCGACATAAGTATAGAACAAGTCTACAGAACCAAATGAGACACTCTAGTAAAATCAATTAACATTAAAAGATACTAAGATACATGACAAAGACTTAAATTTCAACAAAAATTCAGCATAACAATCAAGCAATATCTCAACGAAGAAATTAAAGTAAATCCTAAACAGATAGAAAAAGGGATCAGTTAGTTGCCTAATTGTCTGAGCAATTTAGTTGAAAAGTTAACTTTTGGTTAAAAAAAGGAACAAAACAAAGATAGAAAGAACAACAAAAAAAAATGAAGTCTCTTTGTTTTTGTTTCACAATGGACAAAGAAAATGTGAAAAAATAGAATTTTTTCTGTTTGTTGTACTGCAAAAAGAAAGAACAAAAAAGAAATTAAGAAGAACAAAAAAAAAAAAAAAAAATAGAAGAATTTTTTTAAGTTATTGAACCATACCTTTGACATTCAGAGTTTGGTCGTCTCTACATTTGACGTTCTTTCTTTGGTTTTTGTTTTTAATTTTTAGTTTTTAATTTTTTTTATGTAATTAGGCTATAGAGTTGGACTTTATATTTAAAATGATTTAATTTATTAGTCCAAAATTAATTGTAGGCCCAAATAAATCCGGAAGAAGAACAAAAGAATACGTTTTACTAGACTTGGTAGGATCGTGCAATCCTATGCGATTATACGATCCTACTTCCGATTCTACAGATCCTACTCAAATTCTACTTGCCAGGAATATATGCCAATAAAAGTCCATCAACTAGACAAGCTGATCATTCATAAATAAACTAAATCCAAATGTCATAATGACACAAGAATGTGCTCGAAAGGATAAAACTTACTAGCATCAACATCGTCCATCACATCTTTAAGAGGGCCTTCACCAGATCCATAGTATAGCTTCCCATGACTTGAAAGAACAGCATAGTGATTTTGTGATTTTGTTGTCCATCGCATGTCCTTAACGCAACTTGAATCATTGAGTGAACAAGAGAAAGATGGTTTATGTTCCTGCATAATATTGGAGAAAGAGAATACTTAGAAAGGCACCTAGAGCAAACTGATGAACAAGCTAATCTAGTGTAAAATAATTTCATCGAAGAACCAAAATAAATAAATTTTAACACTATGCTATGGGCACAACCATTTCCGAATTACAAGCCTTTACCAACACCCCAAGCAAAGGCAAGACCTTACCACAGACTAAGTATACAAAAGTTCCAAGAACATATAATCTCACTATATTTTATTCCACACATATGGCAGTTAATTAATTTTTAAAGGTGGTGCATTTATTTCACATAGAAAAACTTTACCAAGATGTAAGTTTGCATAAGTTACTATAACAAATTTCTTTCAAAGATGTCAAGTTTATTAGCTATTTTTCAAGAACATCTAAAGAATTTGCTAAATACCTACCAATGTCATACCACCCTTCCAATAGGGTTTGAGTCTCTCCTCAAGAGCACCGTGAGAGTTATTTGCCAGGGGGAAAAAAAAACATAGCTAGTAAGGCATGTTGGTAATAACACCAACCTCTACCCATCATACGAAAAAATAAAAAATAAAACTTGATGAATGAAAATTTTGTTCATACAAATTTGGACTTGGATTCCTCTTAAATACATTCATGTAACCCAATAGAGAATGTAACAACTACAATTTTTTCACAAAAGTAAAATGCATTTGAAAGATGCCAAGGTGGGTGCAATGCATCCAAACTAAATATATAGGACGGTCATCCACCTATAACCAAGCAAGCCACCAAAATTCAAACTATCTACAAAAAAATAGTAAGGGATGGATTCACCATCCCAATCATGAACACTACCCTTTATTTATTTTTTTATTTTTATTTTTTTTAATTGTTCGAACCTCGGTGGAGGCATGTGTGTGTGAGTACCAACTAAAAAAGAGAGAAAGAGAGAGAGAGAGAGAGATTGAGAGATCTAATTATAGAGAATTTCAGCACTCCAATAGGAGTCTCCTCACCCTCAAAAGATCCCCTATTATGTTCGTTCCACAAACATCACCAAATACACAAGGGCAACACCCTCCAAAAGTCACGGGCTTGAGAACCCACTGTAGAACCTCTCCAAGCCTCAATCATGCCTCTAGAGGACCGAATCATAATCCAGTGGACCGCAAACAACCCCAGAAGCATACCCCAACTATCCCGTTTATTAAGTATGTAATTTACATAACCAGTGTAATGTGTTTAATAAATAGATCATATTATCTATGCATGAAACAACCCCACTAAGAGTCCAATTACTATTTTTTTTAATAATAAAATGCATATATATAAATAAAATAAGAAATTTAACTAAATAATAGGGAATGACTGAATTTTCATTTTATCTCACTAAAACACTCAATTAACCAAAGGTTTCCTACAGTAATATACTAATTTAAATATATTGCATATTATACAAGTTAAAATGGGTGCATATATATAAATACAATAAGAAATTGAACTAAATAATAGCGAACAACTGAATTTTCATTTTATCTCACTAAAACACTCAATTAACCAAAGGTTTCCTATAGTAATATACTACTTTAAATATATTGCATATTATACAAGTAAAAATGGGTCACAAATTGGTTTTAATTGACTTGACACACTTATGACACGATCAATTAAACGAGTTAATCGGGTTGACACGATTATGATACGGATGCGATGAAGGTCAACCCTAACCCATTAAATTGGTACAAGGTTTGGGTCGTCCTGAAGAGTTGTGTTAAAAAAAAAAAAATTTAACCCTAATTCCAACATTTTCAGAACCCTCGATTAATGGGGACCACACCGAGTAATGATCCTTTTTCAACGCAATGAAGAATTAAGAACATTAAAATATGAAAAAATAAATAAATAAATCATAGGGTTATTATGTAGGGGGAGATTTAGAGAGAAGCAAAATGATTATATGAAATGGAGACTTCTACAAGTGGCGACTAAGGCTAGTTTGTTCCATAAAATCTGCTAGTCAGGAAAGGTTATCTTTGTAAGGAAAGTGGTGTTCAAAAGTTCTATAGGTGGTGGCTTTTCTTAACCAAGGGCAGCCGTAAGAGAGATGATGATTGATGATGCTGATTAAAAGTTTGTTTGTGTGTAGGTGTAAGGTACTTTAACTGATCTTGCATGTGCAAGGCACCGATGGGTTGTAGGGTTAAAAGAAGTTGATAACCAATAATTTGGCTAGTGGAAAATTGTGGTCTTTTCCTTCTTTTTCCTCTTAAGTTAGTTGAGTGGTCCCTTTTTAACATCCAATGGCATAGATTAAAAAATAAATAAAAATTAAACTTAATTATGTGATTTAGGCACACATAAGACAAATAAATCAGACACAAACATAGGGCATGAAATGGAGTGGGTTTGACTGATATCTTATCCAATCCGAAGTCCATTTCTATAGGATTTTAATTTGAATCCGAATTCTAAAAAGGTCTAGATATGAATCTTCACTAAAAGACAATCGCAGATTCAAGTAGGATATGGATATGGTAATTCTTAAATGGATCGGATTTTACCAGATAATCAACCCAAATCAAGTACATTTTACACTTTTTGGATCCTATTTAAAAAATGGGGCCCAGATATGGATCCGACCAATAGAATCCAATTCAAATTCGGAACAATACGGACTTGACACTAAAAAATATGTCTGCATCTGTATTCGCATGAATCCGCTCCATTTTGAGTCCTAGGCATACATGTGAAACTCCGATGGCCCCATAGGCAAAAACATCTAGAAACTTCACTAAGATGAAGATTCTATGCTAAGTTAAAAGCTTAACAAAAAATTGGAGTAACAAATAAATAACACTAATCAAGCAAAACGGTGGAAAATAAATGAGTGAAAACGAGCTCTTGCACAAACAAAGAAAATAAAAAATAAAAAAAATAACTCAGTCCTTTGGAATCTTTGATTCTAGATTCAAACTCAAAATTGTTTATTTATGTTCATTTCAAAAACCCAAGTTGATAATATGTTTTAAAGACACTGAGAAAAGAAATTGAGAAAATAAAATACTGAAATTAAGCCTCAAAAGCTATCTAGGATCAAGCCAGCCTCAGCAATTGCCAGACCATCCACTTATATGAATCAACCTTCCACTGAGGCTTATATCAAGATCACGAACAATTAAATCCCACTAGAAAGCGACCATTAAGCTTCTCTAGAATGCAAAAGTATCCAACAATCATCTCCATTAGGCAATGAAATCCCCCTAATTCCCACCTCTATTAGTCTTGATGTGGTCCACAACTTAACAGCCAAAAATTTAAAACCTTGCATCCAATCAGTGAACAAAACACGTGTAGTAGTACGTAAGAATTGCTTATGGGTGATAGTAAAAGGGAATCCATAGAAAAAATACTAGGGAATTCCGGAATCCATAGAAAAACTACTAGGGATTTCCTTCTTTTTCTCTATGCTATATAAAGAAATCCAATATAACATACCGAACGGCTTGTATGTGTGTTTTGTGTAGGGAATCACTTTTCAAAATAGCCTATTTTGAGTTCAAAATGTTCACATCATATTACAAACTCAAAACTGAGTAGAACGCAACCAACTTTGGTTTGCTTTTTTTTTTTTCTTTTTTTTTTTGATAAGTAATAATAACATAAAAAGGCATTCAAAAGGGGAACGCGTCCCTCATACAAAAATGGAACCGGGGCTAAGGCCCCAAAGAATCCAAAAAAATAATTAAATCATCAGAAGAAGAGCAAGAACTCCTCTTCACATAATTGAAAAGAGAACGAAGAATGTGATGTTTCACCATTACCGTAGACGACTCTTTATCTTCAAACATTATACTATTTCTCTCCTTCCAAATACACCACCAAACACAATGTGGGATGACTCTCCAGAAATCGCGTACATCCCTTCTCACACGACATCCTCTCCATACATGAATCAATTCCTTAGTAGATCGTGGCATTACCCAACACATGCCAAATGAGTATGAGTCGGCTCAAGTTCTAGTTCAATGGTCAACAAACAAATTCTATTGTTCTACCCATTTGTCATACTTGACAAAAAAGAAACCATATTCCTCAGGTGCGTCCGAGCTAGGTACAGTTTAAAACTTTAATGAGGAATTCTTCAGAACATCTTCTTTTCAATTTTAGTCCCTGATTATACAAGCTTACATTACAAGTATCTGAAATTGTCTAAACAATTCAAAGTAATGAACAATACGAAATTTCAAGATGAACCAAATTTTGTTGATAAGGTAATGGAAAAAATCATTGGGGATGCAAGATAAATGTCCAATCCTAGATTTGTGGTACTAAAAGACATAGCCTAAACCAAAAATGTCACCCCTCTAAAACTTACCTCTTTAAATGGGAACGATAACAACAACAAAATTAAACAGCAATAAGATCGAAAATTTGACAAATAAATCCAACAGGAACAATAATTGAATACGAAAGTATGCACAAATGTGTGGAGAATTGACAAGGGGAAAACATAAAATACTGGGGAAATTGCTGCGGGAAAAGACAAGACAATCTGCATTAATATAAGATGGAGCATGCCGAAGCATTGTGACAAAGTTCTCATTTCTGAATTTCTGTTGGATTTATAGGGTGATACAAGGAAAAGGTCATTGCCTGGTGCAGCAGTAAAATTCCCGCACTATCAAGCATAAGAAAGCGGGTTGGAATACCAAGAGCAACCACTTTGTGCACTAATATCATACGTTAAATCCATATCCAATCTGCCCCTTCCAACACAACTAACTGGACCAGACTGGAATGTTCCTATATAGAGTGAAAGGAATTGAAAAATTAACCCATACCTTGTTGAGCAGTGAACTAACAGAGAAGAAATGAATATCACCGCCAATACAAACAGCAAGCGTGGAAGTGTCCGCAGACAATGCCAATATGTGAACCTTCCCAATCGGAACATCCACAACACTCAACTCCTGTACAGACGAACCACTCTTTTTGTCCTCAATCTCTCTGGCCGATCCCAAAACGTCCTTGGTCCTCGCAACACAAAACCCTAATACCAAAAAAACCCACAAATTACACCATAAAAAACGGCAAAACAATTGAAACAAGAGATGAATAAGAATGAAACAAGAGAGAGAACCAACCAGTGGAATGGGCAACGAATAGGAGGCCAAAGCGTTCAGAGACCGCCAAGGGCTGAGAGGGAAGGGTTTCCATGTTGAATTCGCAAGCGTCACTGGTTTTGATGGGGACTGACTCGCCAATCTTGATGAAGAGAACGTCATCAGAGCCATGGCGGTCTCCTTCGACTTCCTCGTCCAATTGGATGATACTACTACTGTTTTCTTCGTCAGTTCCCAATTCAGACGAAGCCATAGCCACAATATAAGTCGGAGATGCAAATGAGGGTTTTAGGTTTGGGCGGGAAGGAGAGACAGAGAGAAAGGAGAGAGAGAAGGGCTGTGTAGCTAGCTTTTGGTGACTAAATGCGAATCATAGTATTCATTCTTATGGGAATGGGAATGAAAAGCAAGAGATACTTTTTCTTGCAAAAACAGCCAATTGGAAAGCAATAGTCCCCTGCACACTTTCTATTAAGATATTCGCGAACGGTTCTTCTGTCACAAATGTGGATTGTCTTTCGAAGGGAAAACAGCTCTATAAGAGGTTGCTTAGCCTCAATCTCTTTCTTTCTCGGTGCTTTTCTTTAGGTGGAAAGCTTGAAAGAAAAAAGAAAATGGAGATGGAGGAAGAGAAGAGAAGAGAAGAGAAGAGAGACAGACTGACTCTCTTCAATGGGCCTTCGTGAATTTTAAGCAACTACAAAAATAAATCTGGGCTCGGGCCTCTTGGCCCAAATAATCTTGAAGTGGCCTAAATAACCTTGAAGTGGCCCAAAAGGTGTCCATTACAAACCCTGGGATCGGGCCTCTTGACCCAAAAATAATTTTATTATTTTTTTTCAGTCAATTTATTAGTAAGGTACACTTCTAGACCAACCCACAAGCATTTGAATGGAATCAAACACATATTGCGATATCTTCGTAACACAACGGATATAGGATTGTTTTATTCAAAAGCACCAAATTCTCAATTAATTGGATATGCAGATGTCGCTTTTCTCTCTAACCCACATAAAGCTTATTCACAAACAGGATATGTGTTTACCTATGGTGGCACTGCTATATCATGGCGATCTATGAAACAGACAATGATTGCAACTTCTTCAAATCATTATGAGATACTCGCAATTCATGAGGCAATCAGAGAATGCATTTGGTTGAGGTCAATGATCCAATATATTCGAACAACATGTGATCTCTCATTAATAAAAGATAGCCCAACAGTATTATCTGAAGATAATGCGGCATGCATTACACAAATGAAATAAGGGTATCAAAAGTAACGGGATTAAGCACATCTCACCAAAATTCTTTTATGCACATGAACGCCAGAAAAAAGGGTGATATTAAGATTCAAAAGATACGTTCATGTGAAAATCTAGCAGAACTATTTACTAAAACGCTTCCAATTACAACGTTCAAAAAGTTGGTGCACAATATTGGAATGTGTCAACTAAAGGATCTTCAGAGTTAAACTAATGCAACAATGAGGAAGAGAAATTAGTCAAAAAGGTATTGGCATACTGTACTCTTTTTCCTTCGTCCAGATTTTGTCCCACTGAATTTTTCTGGCAAAGTTTTAATGAGGCAGTTTTAACCTATGCAATACCATTTTTAGATACACAAAGATACTGTACTCTTTTTCCTTCGCGAAAGTTTTGTCCCACTGAATTTTCTTTAACTAGGTTTTAACAAGGCATATTCTTAGTATAATGAAGTGGGCCCTAAGAAGGAGTGTTAGATATGTATATATGTGTGTGTGGGGTTCACATGCAATGATGATATAGATTGAAATTAATGTAGACATCTTTGTTTGGTGTGGAGAGGAAGCTTAAATCCTCTGACTTATTATGGAAGCCTCATGTTTGCCTATAAAAGCCATGTATCTACAGCTTCGCTGTAAGGGCTTGAACAAGTATAATAAAGCTATTTCACTTCCTCTCTCTTATATTTTCTGTCTCTTAAAAGCTCTCACTCAATATTACTCTATATATATATACACATATATTTTTATCTTTCTATTTTTTTAATTTCAATAGTCTAAATTTAACTATTTAACTAGTCCACTATAAGTGGTCCAGGACCGTCTGAAAATTTCGATTAGTCCAATATGAAACAAGCCTTTTGAGTTTCTTAAAAATTTTAAGAGTATTTCCAATAACTTCCACATGGTTCAAAATTTTTAACAAAACATTTAAACAGTGTTCAGCTTCATGTCAATTTTTTAATTTTCTTTTCACCAATTAACATAGCAGCGTGTTATAAAGTCGTCTTTTTTTTTTTTTTTTTCTTTTTCTTTTTTTCACATTCATAATTCAAATACCATCTGAAAATAGAGCAATATGATTTGGATGTTGATCCAACGGACCTTTTTTCTAGTCCTTAGATATTGTCTAGAAAGTTATGAGTTTTTTCACATCCCCACAGTAGACCTTATCTTCCCATCCCTTCTTCAACAAAAATAACTAGTGTAATTTAACTGATGTTGGATCTGATCCCACTTTCACAAAAAAAGTGAGTACTGACCTCTGAACAGCAAAGAAAGATGAAACAATCAGGATTACCAATTCAAGCCAACACACCATCCATTTTGAGACTTTTACAGTACCAAGAAACAAGTAAAATGAAACAAGCACAAATATTATAGGAGATGCAGAGTGGGTGTCACTATATCATACCAACAATTACATCGCAACTGGTTTATTGTTGTTCTGGTATTCTCTGTTTGACATCAAGCATGGCAAATAACTTATAAATGTTTTCTCTGTTAATCAGACAGAGGGGCCAGGTTTATTTCAAACAGAAACTAAAATGAGAAATGAAGAAAGAAAAATAAATTAACACAGACCACAATTCTACCCCTATTCAAACAGCCATATATGGGACTGAAAAGCCCTCGATTTGGACTGATCAGCTTATTCACCAAACTCTGAACCCATCATCATCATCATCAGTATTCATCTTTGAGGAGGGTTCACGATCCGAACATTTCCACCAGCCATTCCTTCAACTCGATCTTTAGTGATCTCCACAAAGTGACCCACCATCTCAAAGAACTGCTTCAGCCCCGACAGTGGGAGAATGATGGAGGAGCGATCGGAACCTGCCACCTGCAATTGCAATGACATTTAAAAAGTGTATTTTATCTAAAACTGACGGAAGAAAACACCATTGTGGTCAACATTACTAAAAACTTTCGAGTCATTAAGAATAATAAAATAAAATATAAAAACGAAAATAAAAGAAAAGCTCTGTTTACCTCAGATATTCTTAAGAAATGGCCCCTGTTGTTGCTCCCAAGATCAAAGAAGAACTTCTTCTGATCAGCTCTGATCACTTTTGATATCCCCAAGTTACCAATTTCATCTGTTGGAGGCAAATCAACAGAACCGTCTACAGTCAATTCAGATGCAGTGGCAGGTTGAGTACTATGGCCGGATATAAAACCAGCCCCTACATCGTCTGAAAGCCCAACCAGACGTTCTGAGGGTTCAGAATTTTGCTGAGTACAGAAGTAGTGGGGGGAAAAAAATTAGAGCACTTGTCAGGCACCACTGACATAAAAAAGAGATTGTGTGTTGAAGATTTAATGCATGTCAGATAAAAGCACCTGATTGGGTAGAATGAAAAGCTTTGATGCTTCATTTATTTCAGCCAAGATGTTCCTGAATGCTGCCCACCCTTCATCTCGGGCACTTCCTGCAGGAACAATAATAGTACTGCGGTTTCTGCTTACAGAAGCTTCAGATACCTGCATAAATAAATCCATTAAAAAAATGAATAACCTTCAGATACCTGCATAAACAAATTCATTAAAAAAATGAAATTCAAAAAACAGTCGATCCTTTAAAATTTTGCCCAAAGCACACAAAGTGACCCTTGGAATTTCAATCTTTTCACAATTCAAGAACTTGGGCAAAAGACACAATTCAAGACAATAAACAAATCCATCAAACCACGGCTAAAAAAATTATAGGTCCCGAGAACAGACTGACTGCCAAAATTTTGTACGGCATCGCCCGACCTAAATCCAAGCCAACATCGTTGACAAGGTTTGAATGAGTTACCACTTTGATCACTCTCTCATTGTCATCATCACCGTCCTCGCCTTTTCCCAAATAAATAGGGTCGACAACCCATCTCTATATCTCTCTCTTCTCTCTTTAAAATGGTTCCATTAAATCTTATAGTACAATACATTCTACTTTAAAATGGGAGAAATTTAATGCATATACCTATTTGTGTTTCTTCATAGATCATAGATCGTTGGGTTTCAGGGAGAGATCATAGATCGTTGGAGGAAATTGTTGATTTTTTGGCCTCTTTGAAGGCTTGAGTCCTTTGTGCTCTTTTGTATTTTCTTGGGTTTCGCTCCCCTCTTGAGCGTCTTTTAATAATATTCTTTTATTTATCAAAAAAAAAAATAGATATATAACTATATTTTTTTTTGATAAGTACATAGATATATAACTATATAGAGAGAAAAAGAGTAACAAGGACATTTAATTCTATTCATTGATAATGAAATATCCTCTACAGATATATATGTGTAACAATATAAAGTATATGACAAACACAAAGTTCAAATTAATTTATATGAAACTCAAATATCCTGCCTTGCTGTTATATCATTTGCTGACAAGAAAGGAAAAACATGGTACAACTGCAATCAATTAGTTGTACACCAGAAACAACAAATACCAAATAATATTTATCTCATGTGATGGAGATCACCTTATGCTATGTTAATTTCCATTTTCCAATTGGGGAAGGAGGATTCGTTGAGATGGTTGGAGTTGTAGGATGAAATATTTCAAGGTCAAACCTTTTCTTTCCAAAAAGTTGGTGTTATGTGACGTGTCTTCAAAGTTTCCCACTTTTATCTAAATTCGTTCTCTATTCTACTTTCTAAAATATTTTTAATAATTGAAACAGTTAAATAAGTTTCTAGAAAGTATTGAGAGCCAGCCATTATACATCTCATGTTCATGATCACAAGAAGCTAAAGCATGGCCAGTTTGGATTCTGTTTTGTAACAAGTCCCCAAATAAGGCTCAAGCTCAGTATTTTAACTAAATATGAACTCAGGCAAACCCAGTTCCAAGCTAAGCCGAGAAATTCATGAAAATTTTGGTTTATTTGAAACCCTAATCAATAGAAGATCAAAAAGCTCATGCCTACGCTACGGATATTTAAACTATAGGTTTTATAATGGCAATGCATAACCAAAGTGAAATACTAAGGATTACAGACCATAGCCAATCAAATTTAGAATGGTTGGCAGAACAAATGTTGCAACACTTCACCACCCTACCCAAAAATCTTTCCTTTTTTTTTTTTTTTGGTTCAAGTATTATATCGTCCCGTCTTACCACTTTGTTTCAAATCATTCGCAGTTTTGTCTCCCTTCTTTAGCATCATCACAAACCCATTCACTTCCCTTTTCCAGTATCATCACACTTCGACGTTGTACTACTACTAATCTTCCTTGACCTGAAACATCCAAGCCTAGTGGGTCTTTGTTCCTGTTCTCTTTTTCTTACAGTTAACTGAATTCATCGCCTATTACTAAAATGCAGAATTCTCGGATACATAACTAGCCTGTCTCTTCCAATTGTGCACATGCTAATTAGCACTCTGCCATACACATCCTTAAAAATGTTTGTATTTGCTTCTAATCTTTTAACCAGAATCCACCACCACATCCTTAAAAGTGAAAGGAACTGCCACTCGAAATACCCAAACAAATAAGCCAATTTACAACTTTTTGTCCTCCGTTTTACCACAATAAATCTAGAAAACAAAATTACTCTAGATTTTGACCTCAATAAAATACTCTAGATTTTTACTTATCAAAAAAATAAAATACTCTAGGTTTTCAAAATGAGAAAAACAAGAGATAAAAGTGGGGAAAAAAAGGGGGAGGGAGGGAGGGCTGGAATGGGTTCTGAAAATTGACGCCAGTAATGCCGTTACTTAACAGGAGTTAGGTATGAATTTTTTTTTGCTTATAGTAATAGTGGGTTTCTGCACCATTACATTACCAAATTTTAAAATCCATGATCAAGCCTATGGTATGCCCTAAAAACTATACTAGCAAGCTAGCTTCTTTTACATTGCACTTTTATTTTATCAAGTTTTTTCCCTCCTCTTTTCCTTTATTCTTAATAACCTATAACATGATATCACGACCAAAACGAATACATAGAACCATGTTCATATTACATGACTGTTAACACAGGCAGCCGAAAGGAGGGAAAATCAGGAAGAATAACCAAAGTTTGATATAAATTAGAATGGAGCAGTAAAATATAATTTGTGATGAAGGGAGACTTGAAAGAAATATAGCATCTACCACAAGATTTACCTTTTCTTGTCTTTTTGAGAATGTCAATGTAAAAAAAAAATGGAATTTCAATAAGCCTGATATCTTTTTAAACTTATTACTATATTTAGAACATTCAGAAGTGTGGAAAAGAATGAAAAGTTACCTTCAAAAAGCGACCCCTTCTATTTTCGCCAATGTCAAAGTAAAACACCTGAAATCGGACATTGTCAGGACAACCACAAGGACTACACATGGCGAAAGAGGAAACAAAGGAAAACACAGAGAATTTCAATAAACTATATATATGAATGCGTGTATATGTATATGTATATGTGTATGTATATGGTGCCTTTGTATCGAGCTGGAGCTCCTTGCTAAAGACGTCCTGCTCATCGGAATTGACGTAGTAATTGAAGAGATCCAAGAACCAGGAGATGCCGTTGAAAGGGACAATGATGGTGGACCTTGTGGCCGATGTCTTCTCGGAGATCTTGAGGTAACGACCGCGAGGATTCTCCTTGAGATCGAAGTAGAACAGCTTGTGCTCCACCTGCAAGGTCTTACACAGCAACTCCACATCATTCCCACCACCACCGCCACCGCCACCGCCACCGCCACCACCGGAATTCCCCTCCATCTCCACTCCACAACCCTCCACTCCCGCTAAAAACCTAAAACCCCAACCTCGAACGGAATTGGAGAAGCTTATCTCTCAGCAACAGCAGAGAGGAATCGGAAACCCTAATTTGGGATTGGGGATGGTGTTTCTCTCTCTATCATTCTCTCTCTATGGTGCTTGCTTGGTGGTCTGCAGATTAGGGCTTGGAGAGAGAAGGGAATGGTATTGTGGTGGTATTTGACCAATGCTTCCATTTGCTTAACAAAATGCGCGTTTTTTATGGTGTTCAGTCACAGTGGTCACCCTCTCTCGTGCGCTCTCTCGTGCGCGTTGTTACGATTTCACACTTCACCTCTTCAAGTCATTACAATCGCAGTAATTTCAAGCTATAGACAACCCATCCGTTGCTAAAAGTAAATTTGTTATTTGAAATTCTCAATATAATGTTACACTCTGAAAAAATTTAAAAATATATAAATTATATATATATATATATATATATATATATATATGTCAAGTTTAATGTTTTGATGTCAACTCTCACTCATATTAAAACAGGTTGAAATTGTTCTATTGTATTACAAATAATTTTTCAAAATTGTATATATATTACTTTTTAGTATTAATTAAAAGAAATTAATAAATATTAGTAAGATGACATCATTTTCATAGTTTAAAAAAATGCACATTTTTAAAAAATTAGAAGAAAAAATTATAACATTTGAACTACTATCATTTGTCTCGAACGTAGCAGTTAAAAATTGCTCATCCATTGGTGGTGGCATTTGGAGTGAGATTTATTGTTTTGAATATTATATTTAGTGTGTATATTTTGTAGAATTTTTTTTCCTTTTTTGGTTAAAGTGATGATTATGAAAAGAGTAATGACAGGGACCGAAAAAGAAAAATACTCTATTTCATAAAAAAATGTTCCTATTTTTTATTTCTTTTTTTAAAAGTTAATGTATACAAATTATAACTTTCCTAAATTATCTTTACATTTTGAAAATTCTCATATTACAATTTAAGGCATAAATTTGGGACCTAGCGATTGGATAAGCATGAAGCAAGAAAATGGAATTATAGTATGAAATAGGAAGAAAATAATAATAATTAATTAATAACAAAAAGTGGTGAAAATTTGGGACCTTGCGATTGGATCTTCACCATCCAGCTTGACTGCAGGGGTAAATAGAGAAATTCGGAAAAGATTTCTAAAGAGAAAAGAGTTCAATTATAGCTTATGTTGCATTTGCAAGCGCAAAATTTATGCTTTCAAATTTCGAATTCCAGAGCATGGAATATGGATACATGCTACCAAACACTTTAGTAGAGTTGAACTAACAGTCCGGATCCTCTGTTGTAATCTTCAACTACTGCACAGATGTTGTACACTTTATAACAAATTATAATTGTTCTATTTTTCGAACACATTAAATCTGACTGAAATGGCATGGCATCTTCCGAGCATCACTACAACACCAAGGATTGCAGCACGCACCACTACGACTCAAGAATTACAACAAAGGTTTCAGACAGTGTTATCAAAGGCGTGTCTAGGGTCCAGGCACAAGACATGCATCTGTTATGTGTCAAGGTGTGCCTTTGACAACATTTGCGCCTTTAATATGAATGCTCCATAGTACCTCTAGCACTTTAGTGCGTCTTGAACCTTTGATAACACTGGTTCTTGACACGTGAACTAACATGAAATGTTTCTTTTGGAATTCGATTTTGAAGGACAAATTATTACAATATATGGGCATGACTATTGACTAAAATCCTTTCTTGCGCAACAGTAAATCGGTTTCCTAATGTGTATCATTAACTGAGCGGAACCGATTTACTGTTGCGCAGAAGAAAATTTTGATCCTCATGGGCGCAAGAATCCTCTCTTGTGTCGTGTCCTTCCAGTGATATATATTACAAAAAGTTTAAGATATTTACTAAAAATCTCAACTTTTTCTGTATTGCATATCCTGAAATGGATGGAACATGACTACTGTTCCACCGGAGAAGATCAGGGTGCTTGTTTATGGAGGGTGTTTTTAAGGATCTTCTTGTTTTTTTAAGGGCTTCCCAAGATAGCAAACGGGAGGCTGTGAATGCTTGCTTTTAGATTCCACATATCTCATTGGCCTGCATTGTGGGGAGAGTGAGGGTGAATTGAGGTGGTGTCAAAATAGTGGTTATTTTTTTTAGCTATATATTATTCTATAGGGTGCTTATTAAAGGAGAGAGTTCCAATATTCTTATATTATTCTATAGGGTGCTTATTAAAGGAGAGAGTTCCAATATTCTTATATTATTCTATAGGGTGCTTATTAAAGGACAGAGTTCCAATATTCTTTGGAAGGGCATCTAGAAAGTAAAAGTTGTCTCTAAAAAGTATATTTTGTTCAGGTTGCAGCTCAGTAAAATTGTCTATATTAAATAAATATAATGATGCAGGTTGTTGCATTTGCAAGAAAGCAAATGAGTCTACTAATCATTTCCTTTGTCATGGAATATGTGGTGTGTATTATTATTCTGTTTTTACTGGATTAGGTCATGGAGGATTCACTGATAGTGAAAAGGACCAAAAGGTGTTGTCCCCCTGAAAATTTTGTCATTCTCTGCAAGTAGCATTCCATTATGGTGTCTGGAGAGAGCAAAATAGGTACGGTTCAATTTGGGAAAAACTTCAATATAATGGTTATACTAATGATATAAGTATTACTGACTAATTAAACGCTGATACATTGCACAAAAATAAAAATAAAAATAAATAAAAATAAAAATAAAAATAAAAATCATCAAAAATATTTACAGTGATCTGTGTCATCAACCAATTAGATAAATATTCAATGTGCCCAGTGCACTAATCTGTGATGTGCACGCACCGGCACATGCTATGCACACACGGCTCAGATTAGCCCGGTGCACCGAATATTTACTCCAACCAATCATATCTTGTCGCATAAGTAAAAAAATATTTTTCTAATCAGTTGATAATACCACGTCTCACCAACATAACCGGAGCAATAAAGTATTTCTGGAAGCAAGGGCTTTGTCAAAACAATGTCCTAACAAATTTACACCGGTTCACAAATGTTTCTCCAACTTGCAAACAAGAATATTAAGAAAATGAAGAGAAGAGACTCTATTTGATTTCTTTGTGTTTGATAGGAATCTCTTAAAACTGCTAGAGTATTAACTCAATATCAGAAAGAGAATAATACAAACAACTCTTGAAGCATCATTACTATCAGAACCTCCAACACAACTTTTAAGTAGTTTTCTGAAATATCTTTATTTACTTTAAAAAAAAATTGTTGAAAATAAAGTATATATATCATCCAGATGTGGAAATGAAAGCGAGGAAGATGCACCAAGAATAACTCAAAATCAACATAGCAGGTTTATATTCATATTGTTTAAGCATTCTAACAAGAATTGCGTCCGGGAAAAGGTTGAAATGAATATCATGATATTATTGAATATAACATGATTCATACTCGATCAATGTTCACTTGCACGCATACTAAAGTAACCTAAAAACCGAGTGAACAAATATTACAAGATTATACTGGCTACTGAAACTGCATCACAAGTACTTATACCACAATGCCACAACTCAATCTTTATCTTGCATAAACAACAGATCAAGAATCTTGGGGAGCCTCAAACCTTGTCGGAGTATCAATGCCCATCATACAACAAAGGCCTGATATTAAAATTATGAGCAAAACGATCGCCTGAGACATCACAAGAGGCAATGTATAAGAATTCAACAGTGTCATATATTGTTAGGTAAAGCCAACAATAAAAATATAAACAAGAAGGGCACAAAGGAAATCATTAGGACTAGTGGTACAGGCATACTCCAGCATTTTAACATCCACCAATCCACATTACAAGTCTATCAATTAAAGGCCATATTTTCTTGTAAATCTCTGATATGGAAATGGTAACGAGGATTCCCAAGAAAAGAGATCATTACAGCACAGTTGTCCATATCAAGTTCTAGCGAAGCGATGGCAAACTATGCACATCAACTTACGTCTATCAGACCTTTCTAGATTCGGTTAGGTCCTAGTGGAGATGGGATATCAATTCATTACTAATTAGGGGGATAACCTTTATAATGCTCTAACTGCATCATCTTATCAATTCTATTATTTTGGTCGTAATGTATTCTCTCTCTCAACTCAAGCTACTTTGTGTCTGCACATAAATTTTTTAATATTTTTTTCATCACCTAAGCAATCAACGGAACAAAGAGCAATTTGTTGGGAGGAAAAATCTATACGGGGTTAACGTTGATATTTTAAGAAACAGATAACTATCTTCCCCCGCACACACAACCCTGATAAGAACTGTACAGTTTTCTGGGAGAGGGCACCCAACAACAACAGATTATGCCTTTTGCACTGGTGCTGAAAGTCTTACTTCTACAATGACCTTTGTCATGGTCCGCTTGGCCATCATTCAGTGTCCCCGTGAGGCCCTCCTTGTCAGACCGGAGCAATACGGCAGATGCATTCACCAAAAAGGTGATGTCTAATGTACTATTCGATGAATATATATGTATCAATACTGAATTTACAACTCCCTAACGTATGCCAGTAGGTTCTAATACACTCCAACGACATTGTGTTGGAATGTTATATTACTATGACTTGCTCATGAGACATCATTCTATTACTATGAGGGTGAGTCTTGGCACAACGATAAGGTTGCTCCATTGTGACCTGGAGGTCACGGGTTCGAAACAGGAAACAACCTCTCCTCATGTGGAGGCGAGGCTGCATACATCTGACCCTACATTAAGCTAACCCTTCTGCATCATTCTATTACTAGTGTTTGCCATATCCAAGAAAGGTAGATGCAGGAAATTGCACTAGTGTGATATCTTGACATGGGTAGATCACAATCTAGGATCATTTCCCACCGAAGAAGCTTATAATAGTAGGTGATTGGTCCGAGAAATTCATGCACTAGGTTGTGGTCTGTAGCTCAGTGTCGACGAGACCAACAAGGAAGTAAAGTATCACGGTATTCAAGAATGTGAACAGTAACTTTCAGCTAGTCGTCATTATAACTATTGCTTTGTGGTTTACTTGATAAAGCAACTTCTCTGTTTAGATAAAGCAGACTTCAAGGGTCACTCTTAGAAATCGTCAAATTTAAGTCTCTCGTTTCCAAGTTGGGAGAGGCTGGACAAAGAGGAACGAAGAGATGCCTCTTCAGCACCAATTTGGATCACATGGACCAACAGTAAGAGATTAATTTTTTAAATAAATTTTGTAGAATAAAGTCCACTAGACAATGCATCCTTATAGGTTGACGGAATTAAAAGATATTGAGATCTTCCTCATTTTAATGGCTTCAAGTTACCTCTCTCTCTTCCCCTCACCTCCCCACTTCATGCTCAGATACCACCATCCATGGGAAGAAATAAACTTAATATTGATAGTTACACTTTCAGAGATCCCAAATTGCATTTGGATTAGTGGCAGATTGCACTATTTTGAATCTATACATTTCTAACAGGGCAAGGGCTTCCAATACGAAACTGCTTTTTGATTTAGCCAAAAGAAAGCTACCTATCTGGGTTTATCACATACTATTGTGTGGAATGATTCTTTCTCACTCATGGATAGGTAAATCTGACTTCACAAGGGCCACTTTTCGTAGCAAAATGGTAGGTCGATGGCATCTATAAAGGGACGGTCAGGGGTTTGACCCTAACTGTTGACCAATTAAAATAAAATAACGGCATATTTAACAATGGTTGCAATTGCATAGAAGGTACGAGGTCCTTATTAACCCCCCGCCCCATATGGTTTTTCTTTATATTTACTTTTGGTTGGAGGCTGTTTCTTTCTTGCAAACTCCTTCAAATAGAGCTCCTTGTCATCGTCTTGGAGACTCTCAGGACCATTAGGAATGAAAATAACACTGCAGCTAACTTTTCCTTCCTAATATTTCTGTTTTGTTAAAAAAGTAAAAGTAAAAGGACAGCAGAATCAATCAAAGGGGGGTTGGTTAACACAGTAGCAGATTATCTTCAATAAATTCTAGAATCCAAGAAAAGAAAAAAAAAAAAAAAAAAAAAAAAATCTGTTTTTAGAGACTTTTCTGGGTATTTTATTGGCATAGTCGTTGCCTCAATTTTACTTATTCCACATTCTTAGGCTAAGCATCTCCTCTGTACATTTTTATGTCCTGATTTTCTTAATGAAAAACCGTTTTTTTCACAAGAATGTTTTCCGTGCAAGAGATGGTAATAAAAATGCTTTGAAAAGTTTAGAATGCAGATTTTATCAGACCAATCTAATCAAATGGCAAACTAATGTTTCTCTATACCCACTCCTTCAACAGCAATTGGGAACAATATGTGCCAAAAAGTCTAATTAAAAGAAGACACATGCGATAGCTAAAGGACATAGTCACCCTGGCTGACAAAAATGGATTCAGATTGTGAAAATGTAGGTTATTCTTTATCAGTATGATCCAGAAAACTTAACAATGATGCTCACACAATCAACATCAGCTGACAAATAGAAAACAATGATAATTGCACCTCCGGTTAACAAAAGGCAGTGACTTACAACTAAAATTCCCTCCAGAAGTGATGATTTGATCTGGCAAACTCCATCACAGAATGTGGAATTGGCTGATCCATTTCCGAAGGTACTGTCAGCAAGAAACCTTTCTAGCTCCCGATGAGAAGGATACTGAATTGGCCTATACGGATCTGAAACGTAAAGAACTGTGTATTTTGCCCCAGACTGCTCCACAGAAGTGATAAGCTTAGAGAAAATCTGGCCTGCAAATTCAATCAAGCTATTCATATGAAATGCTTCTTAACCACATTAAAGGATTTTAAAGTTGATCCATCTTCGGAATCCATTATACAATATCTTAAGTTGACGTACTTTCAGAGTGTTGTGGTGAAAGGAATCCTGCATGGCAGAACACAAGTAGATCTGTCTGGCCTGTTGGTCTCTTTTCCATCCTTGAAACTACATAGTCCTGTTCATTTTTTATGACAAGAATTAAAACATTAGATCTTTTCCATTGACCTCCAAATTTCGTAACCAATTGTAAAACATCACCAAGTAAATTTACATTGACTGAGTCAAAGTCTGCAAGCTTTTCAAAATTTTCACCCTCTACAGAACATGAATCCAGGAAAGCAACATTCTTGAGTCCAAAATCATGTCCACAAGTTTCTGTGAACTCTGAAATCAAATAATTTTCTACTGAATCTTCCTCCTCTGATGCAGCAACATAAGGGAATGCCAAGGAAAAATTGGACCTTCTGAGAGAGACCTGACCATAAAGAGAGAATGCCAACAATAAATGCAGAATCTGGGAAAATTATTCCATATCTCTTGAAAACCTGACTCATAATTTCTAACCTAGGAACTGATTAAATGCAATTCAGCACACTAAGATTACCTTGATCAAGTCCAGAAGCGCTAGGTCTGCATGTCTGCTTCCAGAAATATCCAGGGAATGTAACTACAGATGAGAAGGGGTATATGATCAGTAGCCAGTAGCAGGAACATAAGCACGGGGTTGCAATGTTTTGGAGTGAGAATAATAAATTCATGGTACAATAGGAATCAGCTCTTAATGTGCCAATTCAATGAAAATCATTGAACTGTTTTTCCTTCCAAATATGGTTACTTTTTTAATTTTGCAATACGCATTGGTCACTGTTTGTTTAATAGTTCACTACCAAGCGTTCAAGTCACGGGCATATCCATCAATGCAGATGCGGAGACGGTTGCAGTGTAGACGCAACCTTCACATCTTGACCAAGAACAAACCAATACACAACTTAGAACTCTGCAATCCAAGAAATATAGGTTTTCAATGATTTTTCAGTGGAATTTGTTGTGTACACCAATAAACAAATTTAGTGTTTGGAGAGTCTAAATGGTAGTAGTTGCCAGAGAAGGGACAAATGGGTATCTCAAGGCTACCAGACTTACTTCTGCTATTCATGTTTCTTAACTTCAGAGGCTAGCAGATTTTAGAGTGAGCAAGTTAAATCATGAGAGAAGCCTTCTTACTACCAGATGAATGGTCTTTCTGGTGGTTTTGCCAGTGTAATGAGAAAAATGAGAGAAATCTGTCCAAGTCATCAGAACTCCCCTTCATCTATGATGTTTTTATTGTGGGGGTTTCATTGCAAGGGACTGCCATAGAAGCAAAGAGAGAAGTAGGGTGGTGGTAATGGGTGGGGTACAAGTTATGGCGACTGCAACAATGAGAGATGACCATTTCCTCTATAAGGTGGAGCATATTGAGGAAAGCTGGCAATAGCTTGTTCCTCCTCCAGAAGGAAATGGAAGCATCAGTCAATGGTTGGCCAGAGGCCAAGCTGGAAGGGGAGGAATCCCAGCAATGAATAAAACCAAAGGCAAGGGGTGGAAAAAGATGCAAGATGAAAAGGGTGCACGGATGTTGGCTTTGGAGGGGAAGTTGTTCGACAAGTGCAGAGAAACTAGGAGATAAAGGAGTGGTCAGACATGCTACTCGGCAACGGACGATCACAACTGCACTGAGCTGGTGTGCTAGGAAAGAATCATGCTAATGCACCAGTAGAGAAAAAAGATTTTGGACCAGGGTAGGAATGAGGCTGATTTAGAGAAATAATAGGGTACTGGACTCCGTATGATAGTATTCTGGGAAATGTGGGCTTAGAGGTGTCTATCCATCCAAACTGAAGGATGAGCACATGGGAATCCTAACTAGTCTCATTAGTGTAAAAGATTAAAATGGGCAGAAAAAAGGTGTCCTGCTGGGAGTTTCAAGTGTGCTGGATCTAAGGAAGAATTCAGTGGTACTGATAGGGGCTCGTCTGGGCCAAAAATTTCAAGCATCATTTAAGATGTATGCAACGGAGGGTGAGGACTCCTTCCACAAGCCAGGACAGAAGACTTCATTAAATCAAGCCCATAGCTAGCAGGGAGGTTGGTTCAATCATAGGTCAAGGAGAGGTGCACATCAGGGACACAGCAGGCCTAGACAATTTGAGCCATCACATAAAAAAGCCAAAGGCACAAGGGTAGATCACCTAGTTATATAGAAGGCTGGTAGCATTAGCGGAGATGTTTGAGTTGGTTGGTAGCCTTAGTGGAGAGGCTTGAGCTGCTCAACAGGTAAACATAACTAAGATGCAGGCTCACTCAAACACTCTGGTGAGCCTAATGGCTGTTCAACAGAGCAAGAGGATGGGACTAGGTCGTCGAGGGGAATGATTCAGCACCTAAAGAGCATGGGATTAGATTATTATTGTTTTCTTATTTTATTATGACTAGGTTTAGACTTTAGAGGAATCCTGTATGAAGGGTATGAGGGGGATTTGTGATTAAACAACCACTTCATTATTTATTTATTTATTCTTTATCATGAAAAAACCTTTGGGTTTTGATTTGACGCAGAACAATAGCTCTTATTCTATCCTCGACTTCTTCTGGTTTTTGCATTGACAATCCATAATCTGAAGTTAAGTTGTATAGCTCTTTGATCTTAATATTCTCATCTGGTGCATTCCACATCAATTTTTTAGTTATTTTGTACTTTAGAATAAAGATTCATACCTCTCTCCCAACGAAAAGAATTGCAATATCCACAGGCTGTTGAGTTTCCTTTCCACACTATAGAGAAAAAACCAATATAAGAAATCAAAGAATGCTGAAACAAGTAACTTACTATCTTTTGTTCTCTTGGAAGTTTACAGGAAAAAGGGCAAAAAAAAAAAAAAAAAAAAAAAAAAAAGACTCAGCATAAGAATTAGAGACTAAAAATGGCAGTCAACTGTCACAGTAAAGTAACACAAAATACCAGTAAATTTGACCAGCCCCCTTCAGACATAACAGACTTGGCTAAATCCTTCATAGGAAGAGTTTGATAATTTACTGTCTCCTTCAGTATATTGTTTGAAGATCTGTAAAATTTGCAATGATTTAAAATTAGATTCAGATCCACTATATTCCGATCCAACAGAAAGGAGTATGAAAAAAGGCTCACTTCAGAATAACCAAAGCCTTATTTTATATCAAGGATACTAAATTCATACTTTGCAATGTATTTTATATGATAACACAAAAAATACAAACTACATATAGGATGCTATCCTTAGGTTATGAAATAATCAATTTCTAATTTAAGGATAATTTACAAAAAAAAAAAAAATTAAAAATTGCCCTTATTGAAAACACTTTGAGGCTACTTTCACTCTTTCAAAAGGTTCTTTAATTTTTAATTTTCTACCATCCTATTACTAAATTTATTTTTTTCTTGGTATAGTGCTCACATAACATGACATTTTTTGTTTCTTTCTTATTCGACAAGAAAGGAGAATTGAGAACATACAAATTGTTGAAAATTTGAAACAGGGAATTCTGTACTGAAGCATAATTTTTACAAACTTCAGTGTTCTAAGTGAGACCTTTCCTAACACTGTCCAAGAAATATATTCCGTTATGGCCTTTCCTTAGGTTACTAAGGAGCCTGATTTATTGATTATCTGATCTTGGCTATAAATAAGGAAGAAACATCAGACCTCCACCAAATCCTTCCATGATTTCCATCACCCAAAAGGGGCTCAAGGGTTCAAGCCCCAGTGGGGATGTTTGACTATTGTGATTTAGAGAGATTATGCTAATGCACTACTTGAGCCAACCAAGGTACAGGAACCCTCAAGGAGCAAGCATGTAAAAAATTAAAAATCTAAGGTTCAGATTCCATTCAGGTGGATTCACAAAATGCATTATCTACGTATTGTTCCCTAAGAAAACAATGCATACACATCTTGGTGAGGCGACCACAGAAACGCAGGGACTTGAGATTGGAATGTCAGTCCCGATGGGAGCAGAACTGCAACGAGCGAAATCGTCAACAATACTGCCGCGACTTTCTTCATCTTCCTCCTGTACTGGACCAAAGATTGTGGCACCCACAAACAAATATCAGATCTCCATTAGCATAAAGTAAGAAAAATAAAATCAACGAACCCAATATGAATATACATACAGAAAATATAACCCTTATTATTATTAATTTTTATTTTTGGGAAATTAACCCTAATTAACGAAGCAATAACTATACACGTAACAGATCTGAACTTAACATCAGAAACCTAAAATTGCACCAATTTCAAATTACCAAATAATCAGAATACCAATAATCAGACACTTTTTCCAAGAAAAAATGGTGATACAAAATGGGTTATAAAGAACGAATCCCAATTCAGAAAACCTGAATATATGAATCTCTCTGCAGAAAACCCGAATATTTGAATCAATCTTACCTTGAGCTTCAATGGATAGTGTACCAAACAATCGAGAGCTTCCTCCCTTCGTTGGTTTGATTGCAAAAGACGATCAGGACTCGAATGCCAAGACAGGTGTGAGTTTCTCTATGGAAAAAAAAAAAGGGGAAGGTGCAATTAGACTCAAGTATATATTACTAGTATATTTTAGGAGAAGTGATATAATGTATCTTTAATTATTATTATTTTATATATTATATACTCCGTATAAAACTACTAAATGGAGTAAATTATTTATTTATTTTTATATATTTTCTTTATATATTTCATTCTCTAATTATAAAGATTAAATTATTTATTTTCTTTATAAATTTTTTTGTCTAATTATATTTCTTTTTTAAAAAAATTCACAATAAATAAGTAATTTGAGTTTTATAATATCTTATATTAATTTTAAAATAAAAATTCATAATAAATAGATAATTTGTGTTATTCTAAAATAATTCGTAAACATAAAATTGATACAAGATAAAAGAAATAAAAATAATAATTTTTAATTAAAATTTTCAATAGGAATTCAATTATTGATATGTGTATTTTCAAACTTCTAAAATAATATCAAAATTAAGACTATTTTTTATTACAATTTACTAATATTTTATTTATTTATATATTAAAAAATTATTTATATATTATTTATAAAATTAGAAAATATGTAGAGACTGAGGCTCAGTTTGGTAGAGTGGAAATTGGAGGAAAGGGAAGGTGATGGAGGGTGATTAAAAAATTGTGTTTGGGTAAAATTGGCGGAAGGAAAGGAAAGGAGAAGGAAGGGTTTGGAGGGTTAACACAAGGCTCCAACAGTAGATTTCTTAACCTCCCAAAAATGGGCTTGGTGAGTGATTTCTGATGCCAAATTTGCTCTTGATTACACACAAAACCCATACGTACAAGTTAGCAGTTGTAGAGAGAGGGGGGGCCAGCTTGAGAGTTGAGAGAAAGAGGGCCGGCTAAAGCTTGTGAACGGCGCACCTGAATTGGAACAGCGGGTGATGGAAACTGAAAGATCGATGTGGGTTTTGATTTTTTGAACAATCTGAAATGATGCCGATATGGGTTTTGAACTTTTGATTCTTGCAGACAAATATATAAACTGAAATATGTGGGTTTTGAACTTCTGGTTCTTGTAGTAGTTTGTAGTTGCAGAGAGAGAGAGAGGGGGGTCAAGTTCAGAGTTGAGAACGATAGAGATGGAGGCTGAAATGATTTGCCCAAAAATAATTTTTGTTTTTCTGGTGGCCGATCCATGGGCCTAGACAATATATATATATATATATCTTTTAAAATATAAAAGGGCATAATAGTAAATTTATTAAAATTATTCCATTTCATTTCCTTTCCTTTTTTTTTTTTTTTTTTCCAAACATAATTTTATCCTTCCCTTTCTTTTTCATTCATTAATTAACCAAACACAATTGAAGATTAAAATTATTATTCCCTTCACTTTTCTTCTTTTTTCCTCATAACTAATGTTATCCTTCCCACTCAAACCCACCGTACCAAACATACGACTAAATTATTTTTGAAAAAATTACAAATATGAGTGGAGAGTCCTAAATAACAAAATAGTTTATTTTAATAGTTCATATTTCAATTTGATTGAATTAAACAAATTAATTACAAATGCATCAAGAATTATTGTTAAGATTTAAAATATCTTTCAAATTTTTTTATAAAATACCAAAATATAATTTTTATAATATTATAATTTCAAAATATCAAAAACAATATGAAACTATCGAAACCCTACTCAGTATTAAACATCAAGCAAGCACATTGGTAATCCCACCACCATGAAAATCGTAGTTACTAGATATAATATCCATGTTCGCAGTATTTTTACATTTCCACAAATATGGACATTGTTGGCTAAAACATCGTTAAACATAAAATTGAGAGTATTTATACCAATATGTATTAAAAAAACTTCCTAAGCTCCATACTTCTCATCTTTTTATTATAAATAATTGGTAATTTTAATTTTTATAGAAACTCTTCTAAACACCTTATATTAATTTAAAAATAAAAACTCATAATAAATAGGTAATTTGTGTTAAAAGATTTATAAAAACTCTTTTTATATTCATTAATAAATATTTTTTATATTATTAAATAAATACTGAAATACTAAAACTCTTTACACTTTTAATAATAGTATAGATTATTAAATTCTTTGCCAAGTATAACTTTTGAAATAATCTCACGATAAATTCTAACTAAATTATTTTTGTGAATTTTTAAAGACACAATGTTTGTTGTCAAAACAACTTGACAACTTGGTTTTTTAACTTGAGTTAGCCAAAATAAGGATTGCAAATGTTATCCCACTTAAATTATATTCAATTTAAACTTCTCAATCAAAGCATAAGGTAAATTGGACATAACTCTACTTTAACTCAGTCTAATCTTATAATTGATTCTAATCAAAATTTAACGATTTTATTTAATAATATTTTTTTAAAAAAAAAATTATTAAAAACATCCTGCACACCATGTTTGATTCTTATATTTTTAATGCCATAATTGCTTCTCTTATAAAGTGAAAACTCCTTTTCTATTCCTCTATTGGACTCTTGACATCATGAAAAAAATAAAAAATAATAAAAAAATGGAATGTATAATCTTTGTAATTTGTTGTTGTTGGGACAAAAAGGAAATAAGCAAAGAATGAATCCTTATACATACTCATTTAAGATATTGAATAGGAAAAAAAAAAAAACCACAATTATCCATTTGTAGGTGCAAAATTCCGCTCAACCAATAATGATTGAGAAAAATCAAACAACTCACTCAAAAATAATAAGAATAAATAAGAATAGTGTATAGAAAAGCGTAGAATTGCTTGATCCCTTTATTGGAGGTCTGGGCCTCTATTTATACACAAATAATATAGTAGAATCATGGTAGGACTCGCATTGCTTGTCTTCCAATCCTTTTCCATGTACAATACTCTCCTTAAATGGAGTTTTTTTCTTTGTATAACTCTTCCTATGTAAAATATCTCTCACACGGAAACTTCCTTTGTGTTGAGTCCTTTTCTTATTAGGACTGGACCATAGATGGTGTACTTGGGCCAGATGTAATATGGGTTGGATGACTTCATGAAGGGGCCGGTACTTCCAATGAGGTGATATTGGGCTGGTTAAGGCTTTCATCCAGTGTTGAAAGTCCAACGTAAGTGGTATTGGGCTGAAAGATAATATAATTTGGGCTTGATCCGGACGGGCATCATATGTCCTTGGAATGTAGATATGTGTAGTGATGACGTGTACGCTTCTTATTGGAAGGAGTTTTTTTCCCTCCACACTTTGCCCTAAATTTCATTTTTAATTGAGTGACGGCTCCCATTAAAGAGGGAATTGAAACCGGTTTTTTACTTTGCTTCAGAGACGGTTCAAGGACTTTCATTATTACTCCGCCGTACAAGATTCTGCAAGAGTTACATTCGCCCTAGCTGCACTCCTGCGTTCTTCATTCCATCGCTTTGTCAGGTTAGTTTTTTTTCGTATCTTTCTCTTCAATCTTTCATTATGAGTACTTCATCTACTCCCGAACGTATAGACATTGGGGATTCTGAATCCACACCTTCATCTTCCCCCGTTCGCATTAGGGTTCCCCCTCCTAGGGTTTCTACAGATCGTCTTTCGTTGAATCAATTAGGTACTTCCCCCCTTCCAGCCGAGACATCCACCTCAGACTCTGATAATGTTCTTACTCATGAAGAGAGGAAAGCAATCATCTCTATTCGCCGCATTAAGTTCTCTATTGCTTCGGTAATTGAAGAATTTGATATTCCTGAGGGAGTAGAAATTGTAGAATATCCCGAGGGTGCCGATTTTACCTCCGGCGATGGAATTGAAGAGAGTGAGTTGCTTCTTTCGGTCGGGCATCTTAGCGCCCTCCGGTTCCCTCTTCACCCCTTCTATCATTTAGTTTTCAACAAGTTAGGTCTTGCCCCCCTTCAGGTAAATCCTAATTTCTTTCGCATCCTTTCGGCACTGTTAGTGCGCCGGAAATTAGAGGCTCTAGATTTGACCTTTGCTGACCTTCTGCTTACTTATAATATATCTAAGCATGGGACCGAGCCTGGTCGCTTCTTTTTTACCTCTACCCTTCATCAGAGGATATGCACGAACCTTCCTTCATCCGAGAAGAAGTGGAAAGAAAGGATGGTTATAGTTAAAGAAAATGGTTCGTGCCCCAATCAATTACGCTCCCCATCCCGTGCAAGTTCGGGAAGTTAGGTATAGAATACTTAACCTCCCTTCATACCAAGTGTTCTGGCTGTTTTCCTTACCAAGTCTTAATGTTTCGCCGTACTTATGAGTTTCTTGGTATTTTTTCAGCTACATTCCCATCCTCCGCAGCAAGGAACAAACTTTCTTTTCTTGAGGAACGAGTCTGGAGTAACCCCTCGCCTATCGAGGACCTGCTAACTTCTTCAAACCTCAAGGATATTGCCTCCAGTGCTGTTGCTGCAGACCTCATGGATCTGTCTCTACCATCCTTTGATAGTTTCCCCATGACTGAGGAGGAGATACGGAGGGCTGAGGCTTTAAAAAAGAAAGCCGAAGATGCCCAACCCTTGGTCGTTATTAGGTCTACTGAGGGTGAGGTGGAGGCTAAGGAACCACCAATGAAGAAATCTCGCCTCAACCCCCCATCCTCTGGCAAGGGCAAGATCCCTTCTAAAAGCAGAGGGAAAAAGGTTGGAGAGGCCGAACCTGAAGATGAAGTCAGGGCATATGTTCTGGCTGAAACTGGGGCTCCTTGGACTCCTTCCTTCACCAGGGCTGACAAGTCAGTCCTGCATTCAGGGGATTCTGTGATCACAGACCCTTCAGCTGCACTGGTTGTGGCCCGAGGGATGTGGCTCCCAAAAGACAATGAAGCCATCAGCCAAATGGGGTTGGAACAACTACTCCCCTCTGCCCCGGTTCGGGCCATAGAGGTTCGTATTGCTCCTTCAGAATTATGTTACTCTTGCTTACTTATGTTTCCATTTATGCTCATATTTGTTCCTCTGTTATCTTTTTATACAGAGTCTATACCACACCATGGCCCTCTGCGCCACTGCTGAAGCCCAATCCCTCTCCATCAAGAAGCTGGA